TACAGGGAAGCACCTGCAGGCTGCCTCCTCTGGGCCCTGAGCTTGTGAGAGGCAGGGCAGGCCCATTTCCCCAGCCAGCCTTGCCACACCCTAATCTCTTGGCTCACCCTCCTTAGGCAAAAAATATAATTCTCAGGAAGAATTACTGAAGGATTTTTTCAGGAAATTGTTGTGAAAATATCTCATCACTGATTCATTGACACCTGTCAACTTTTCCATTGTCCTGTCATTTTGTCAGTTCTCTTTACCCCTCTTTGTCTTTGGGCAGATATTAAAAGAAAGGATGATGACATTCCACATCACTGCCAATCCCACTGTTTCTCACCTTGTTTATGCAAATTCTGGCAGCACCTGCAGCACAAGCTGCACTGTTTGCACACTCAACAACTAGACATCAACTTCAATTTTTTTCTCTGTAATACTGAGAATAAAGAATCAACTATGTAAATCTCTATCATGTATGAGATTTTATTGGTTTGAGGTTGAAAACAAGAACAAGAATGTTTCTAAAAAGTAATACTTATTTTTAATTTCCAATTTCTCAATTAATTTCAAAAGATTGGTTACAAGAGATTTACTCTCCCCATGCACTTGCCATATCATAGACAAAAAAGAGCAGTAGCATTACCATATTCAGATGTTTACATGCATTATAATTTCATTTTGCTTCAACAATAGTTCCATACAACAACTTTTTTGATGTAAATTATGAGTAAACAATAAGAGAATTTTCTCTATTGAAGGAATTAGATCACTGCCATCTAAAGCAGGCAATGAGTAGTTTAAGCTTTAAGATTATGGACTGTAGTTAAGAGTCAAAAACAGGAGGATCAGACCTGCCAGCCCCACCAGCAGATCAGGATTTGCAGACTCCTGCTGAAATGATGATCTTAGCAAGTAGACACTTGCAGGCACAACAAGCAGTAGTCATGGGGATTGAAGCAGCCCTGACTAAAGGAGTCTTTACCTCACACAGTGTCCCAGCTGGAAGGGAGGGACCGTGCTGCCCCAGTGTCAAGTGGCCCTTTCAGGGTTTAACCAGTAAAATCAGTCCTCTGTGATGCAGTTCACCTAACTTCACTCTTTCCTAACATTTATATTTCTAGAATAAGTTTGAGTTAAAAAGAATGAATTTTTATTTTAATGTTTATTACATTGAGCACACATAACTGATTCCTGTAAAAATCACACACGTCTTCAATTAGTGACTCAATTTTACTGTATTCTTTACATAAATGATAAACATGTAAAGTGAAATGCCTCTTGTATCAATTTATAATTTTCATATCACCACAAAATACTCCTTTTCCACCATATAATGTTTTCAAATCAAAAGCTATATTTAACAACTTGCTAACTTTTTGTGAAGTTTAAGATTTTTAAAGAAAATCCTCTACTATCAGACCACTAGCCTGATAATGGAATGTAGAATAAATCATTAATGTAAAAATTCAATGGAACTGATTCTGTATAAAGATCATATACCCAAGTATTCTATAAAGATCATAAACACACTATGATCTTATTTTTACTTAAAAAGGCATAAAATGAGTAAACAAATACCATTTTCAATAAATGTGAAAAAAGCACCTCTGTTTTATTAGCCAAATTCCAAGTTATTTCAATTTCAATGAGCAGGGGAAATGAACCTAATTACACCTTAGTGTACTGAAACCCCATCCTACAGAACTAATTGCTGAAGCTTTGGTAATGAGCTTTTGTTCAGTATTAAGTTCTTTTCAAGAGCCAAGAGCTCTCAGGAGGCAGCAGTACAGTACAGCTTGCTCATCCCCAGGACATTTCACTCACTTTACCCTCTTCAGGAAGGAGCAGAGTAGAGTCTCAAGCATGGCTGAGTAACCAGAGCTTTGTAGGTTAAGGAATGCCTTGATTCAGATCAAATGCAGGACAGTACAGCTGTGTCTGGTCACCCCATGTTAGGGCTCACAGCATCATCTGATTTTATGGAGAGGAAAGAAAATTCCTGCTTTACTTCACTAATTCCTACAAGGGCATCTGCACTAACAAGCTCTTGCCCTGCAGGACAAAGTATGTATCAAGGAGATGGTATGATCGTGGAACTGGAGGAAGGCTGCAGATGAGCAGAAGCATCAGACATGTGGTGAGTACAAGCTTGTTCCCTGAAATCAAATGCCTAAGAATTCCAGTAAGGAATAAAAGAATTGGCAAAATGTTGAGAACTTCAGATGCTCTTAAAAAATGGATTTCCTGAATTTAAAAAAAATTATTTTTCATAAATTTATAAAGCCTTTTTAGCATGTATATATATGATGTAGTGTATATCTGACGGGTATATCAGATGATGTTTTATGTATGTATCATGTCTCAAGAGAAGCATATACATGTGTTGATGTGAATGCACACAAATGTTTGCAAGTGTATCTTATGATGTGTGTATACACATACAAACACAAGTGGAGAAGTCATTACTACAGTCAAGCAAACTACCATATGTATTTTGGTAGCTTTAAACTGTTCACTCCTGATTTGCCTCACAAACTAGACCAAAAAAATGATTTATAGATATAGAAACAAAACACGGAAGAAGAAAGAAAGAAATGTTTCAGGCAAAGCTGAGGAGAAAGCAGGAAGGAAAAATCAAAGAGTTTTAGCAAAATTATAAAGAAATCAGAGTAACTGAGTAGATTCCTGGGCATTAATATTCAACCACAGTTATTCCAGCCCCAAATAAAGTAGTGGCTAAGGTAGTCTTTGCTGGGATAAGTGGTGCTGCTGCCCTGGGTGGAGTCTGGGCACCAAAAGAAGTGGCTCCCGGAAAGTTGTGCTTGGTCCATCAGACACACTTCTGACCAGCACTACACTAGATGAAACCACACAAGAAGCACAGCTCACCCTGAGCTGGGTTGGAGGTGACACTGTGGCCCTCCTGTCCCTTTTTTTGTTTTGTTCGTTCCTATGTGAAGCATGAGATAAGTGACTGTTTTTCATGCCCTAACGAGTTTTCCAGAGCTGGTAGCTATGACTTATCTGAAGCGTGGATGATGTAATCTGCAAGATAAGCCATGTATCTGATGCTAGGTCCCAGGAAGAAAATGACATTAATTAAGGATAATGTACCTGTCAGCCCCTCAACCTGCCAAGCTGTCACCTGCCAAGCCAACTCTCAGGACCTGGTGTCAATTTTGGAAAAAGGCAGTTTATAAAAATTGAATAACATAAATTCTTAGCAACACATTTACACACAGGCCAAAATTGTCAGGAAAAGATTTTCTGAAATCCAAAGGAGAAGGGACCACATCTGTTGCTCAGGTGTTTCTGATGTGGTGTTGGAGACCACTACAAAGCAGCTCTGAGCAGGATTTAAATTTTACTAATTGGCTTTCTATGTTTATCTGTGAGTCTGTCCTGGCCTCTTGCCTGGTGACGGGAACTGATTCATAGTAAGTGAAACTCTATGAATCACTGGTTTGGCTGAGGCATGTAGTGGCCTGAGGCCAGAGATACCTCAAAGGGTAAGATAAGGCCACAGCTGTGGACAACCACAATTAACAAGGTAGACACTGCAACTGCAAAGATTACTCCTACAGTCTCACTTCTGCTATGTCTTCATGATAAGACAGTGCTACTGAATTGACTTGATTCATTACTTGGAGACCTCCTAAAGTGACTTCCAAGGTCCTGCTCATTGTCTGAACTTTCCTCAGTCTCTTCGCCCTTTGTCCTTGGTCCTAATAAAGTGGACTATCCCAGAGAATCCTTTGTCATTACCCTCGAAGCCTCAAGGTTAAGTAAAGGGTTTTGACCCTCCTGGAACCCAAAAAATCATACAATTTGTCTCTTTTTATTTAATCTCTGCCGTACACTTGTTTGTGAGATGGGGAATCTAGGACAGAATCTGATAATGTGGGATGGATCCTTTTTGTGTCAACCACAGTTCATACAGTCAACAGTGTATTTTTGGAAATGCAAGTTGATTTGCAGAGATAGAGATAATTACTTTGAGCTGCAATAGGATGATCATTCATGCTAATAAAGATGGAATTGTTTGAGCAAGTCAGATATCAATTAATTTTCCATCCTTGCTCAGCTAAATTCCTGTAAAACCAGCAAGACGCTCTTGTATTTTACTACACAGCTGAATGCAGCAAGGACTGTTAAACATACCGTGCAGGTATGTTTTTCATAATACACAGAGTAAAACAAAACTGTGTTTTCTATTTATTCACATTATTTGGATGTTTTCTAATAATTACCAGCTCTAACTGTGTTGATGTTGTAACTCGTAGAGCCAGAATGACACCATGTTCTGACAACACCCTGGTGCTCTCTGTGGATGCCCAGCACTAAGCATGGGCATGCATCCACCTCGCTGCACTTGCACAGCTACCATGGGGTGGGCAGACAGAGCAAAAAACCTCTGAGCCATGTCACCAGATGTTACTATATGCTTCCACTTCGTGCAGTAGTAAGAGAGACAGAAAATGCCAACATGCCTCATTGAACAAAGTGCAGTTCTCAAAGACTTCGTACTGACTTACCACACTTCCTAGTACAGCTCCATATTAATTGCAAGATAAGCAAAACTGATACCAGTGTGTTATAAAATAGCAGTGAACAAATTTCCATAACTGTGGATCATTCACCACGTCAATGTCAAATGAAAGTTCTTTCCATTTGAAATGTGATTCTCTCACTTAAATTATCGTTTTTTCCAAGAAATGCCTGCATTTTTCCAGTGAATAGGAAGAAAAATCATAATGACAATTTGAAAACAAATTAACAGTTAAATTGATGGAAGTAACAAAATGCACCTGTGTTCATGATCAATTCACATTTATTCAGCATGAAAAGAAATGCATACTGGGAAATTCATTACCAATATTGACAAACGGACTTTATCCAGAGCAGAAACAAAGCTGAATCAAAGGCAGCATTCACACATACCTCATAAACCAGTCTGATGACTGCATGTGGACGTTACTGAGCTTAGGAGGCCATGCTGATGAGCAGTGTCGGGCTGGGGATGAAGGAAGTAGTCCACTTGGTCAAACTGTTGGCCCACAGGCTGCGTGTGCACCGTGTGGTGGGGGCCGTTCCCACTGGCCAGGGTCACCACCTAGGAGAATGCAGCGTGGTCACATGGGCACACAGTGCACAGGCCAGGTTCCCACGTCACTTGCAGAAACGTGGCATTTATTTGCATAGCCTCTTTCTGCCCTCCTCAGGATTACCATATCATTAATCAAATGGCAATTTGTATGCTTTGTCTATTTTCAGTATAGAAAAAATTGCCCTATAAAACTTCTAAATTGTAGAAATATTAACTTTGCTGTCATGAGGCAGTTTTAGGGCACAATTTCTTCCTTAGACCAGAACCGGAAATACATGTGAAAACTCCAAAATAAATCATGTGAAACCTCTTAAAAATCTCAGAATATATACAACCATATTTTAAAATAAATTGAAAATAATCAGTTGAAGTGAATTTTAATCAATGAAACAAGAAAAGTAAAAATATTTGCCTTTGGCAAAATAACAACTGTTTAGTAAATTACTGATTGCAAATCAAAGCTGGTCCCGAGAAACAAGTCACAGGCAGATATTTTATATGTGGTTTTATACATTCTGAGATTTTAAAAGGCTTCGCATGACTTATTCAAAATTTATCTGGAACACTAGTTGTAAAATCATTGCCATGCACAACTAACATTGTGAGAGTATGTGAATTTTTTTTATCAATAACAAATGTCATAGGAAATTTATATTTTGTATTCAGAATTGTCACAGACAAACGTTTTAAATTAGAAATGAAGGCACGAAATAGAAATGGCCCTTCCTATCCTTGAGAAAATGTTCTCTGGGATGGTAAGCACTGTTATAAAATGTGCTGAATGAGGACCAGAGAAATACAGACTACGTAGTCCTCGTAGCCTGTATCAATTCATCTTCCAATTGTACAGCAGAGGAGCATTGAACCAGAGGAAGCCTTGAGAATCGAGTTTCTTTTTCTTTTTTTTAATGCGAATCCAGTTTCTTGACAGTGTTCTCCCTGTTCACAAAATCTCTGTGGATGTTTCCTACTGATCCTGGTGGGTGATGATTAGGAGCACCTTGACCCCACCCCCCCCACCCCCCCGCAGAGCCCAGGAGAGCCGTGCAGGGCCAAGGTGCAGGTTTAACACTGCAGCTGCAGAGGAGGAGCCAGAGAGGCGCCCCTGAGAGAGTGCCTACAATCTCCACTGAGCCTTGCTCACCGCCTGACACTGCTGGCCTGGCCTCCCAGCAAGTCCCACCCACTCCAGAGCAGGCCAGCGCCCTCCTGTTGCAGATCCTGCTCCCTGTGGGGCGCTGGGGCCAAGTGCTGAGCCTTCCACCACTCAGAAAGGGCCTGTTCTGGAGACACCCCTCTGTATCCTTCCCCCTTTTCTGGCAAGCAGACTGAATAACTCTCCCGCTCTTCTGATAATTGTCTCTACATTTTATTTAATATTTTCAGGCGTAGCGGTTACCTTTCACTCCCACTCAGTAAATATTTTAAAACTTCACTGCATTCTATTTGTACAACTTCTTTGACATTCAGAACACAATAAAGAACCTATTTTCACATGCCTACATACTGTGTGGGAAGTAACATAGACCTTTATAAAGCATTTTTCCTGTACACTATTAAAGGAGAATATTCCAACAGTTTTGTGAAAATAGTGCTACACTTAGAAAATTCTTAATTGTACAAGTACCTTGGATCAGAGGAAGATGAGGGATTGATTCTGCAGAATACAATGCATGTGTTTGCACTCTTAATTTTCTTAGAAAAGAAGAAAAACTTATTTTAAAAGCATTTTAAACCTTATAAAACTTTTCTTAAGATAAAGGAAATAGTATTACAATAATTTAAATCAATAACTGCTTTCAAAAATATCACTATTGATGTGTTTTATCTTTTCAAGATTATGCCTAAGTACAGAATGTTGGATCAGGAAACTGGATCCTGGCAAACCCTGCGGTTTCCTAGCTCCTGCCCCACTCTGCCACAAACTTGGGCACCCCACATACTCTGTGATGGGGGGCCGGCTGCCCTTCTAATCTGGCCCCGCTTTGAAGGAGCTCAGTTTTCCAGTTTGAGGAGCACTCAGGACTCTTCAGAGTGGCTGGGTGAAAGAGTGCAGATGATCAGGGCTCACAGCCTGGAGTCCGGAAGCAGCTGGGACTGGGAGGGGACAGGCAGTGATGGAGGGGTCATTTCCACTAGGCAGGCTCTCGTGCTGTCTCCTCACACCTGCTATGCACGAGGAGGACCACACCAGAGCTGCCTGTGTGTGCAGCCATCTGGTTTCCCACCCAAGAGCTACAGTAAAACTGCCTTTCCCACATCACTCAGCCGGGACCTGCATCACAGCAGCAGAGGACCGAGTACAAAAAATGACTGCTTTTCTTTTTCTAAGGACATTGACTTGGTCACTGTTGTGTTGACTTTCTATGTAAGTACAGCTTTTAATGAACACAACTATCACCTTTCCCCACCCAAAGTCCTATTTGAGTAGCAACATTTTCCTCTTTTTTCACATAGTGGTCAATAAAGACCCACTTCTCAGCAGGACAAGCCTCATTCTGCATGCGTAGGCGGTCCAGTGAGACCTCTGAAGGGACTGTCCGCCCAGGCCCCACCAGGCCCCACCTGCAAGGTCGGGGACGTCTTCTCCATGCTGCCCCAACTCAGCACTCAGACCTGGTAGTGCGATTTGTCATAGTGCAACTTGACAGGGACGGGGTCCGTGCTCACCGCCTGTGAGAAGGGAAGACAAAGAGAAGGTTTCAGACTAAAATGAGCCCAAAGCAGGGGATATTCCAGGAACTTAGCTGTCAGAGTGAAATGGCTTTGGCCAGTGGCCTAGTTTTCCAATTAATCTGGTGATATTATATCTCTCACGAAAGCCCAGTTTTCTTCAGTTTGCCTTATTGTAATCATGTTGATTCACTACTTGTGTTAACTATAAGTCATGGAGAAGCCATGCAGAAATCCAGGATGATAAGGATTCGTGTGCTCATGGTAGCCCAGTGCTGCAGCTAGGTGAGAGCTGTCTACACGGCCAGGATCACACTGTATGTGAAAATGCCACAGTCTGATAACTGGGTTAACATTCGTAACTGCGTACCTGATGTACCTGATATAATTTCTGTAGTAGAAATCCAAAACCACAGAAGAAAGAAGCAACAACTAAAAATGCTTTGTTTTTGTTTGTCCAACCTCTGTTGTTGGACAGATAGGCTGTTTCCAAGAATTAGCTATTATGAGTCGCATTGCTGTAAACATGGCACTCATATATCACTGTACTATGATGTCTTGAACTCTTCTGGGAAGTTAGAAGGGGAATAGCCGGCTCAAATGGAATTTCTAGCTTTGGTTTTTTAAGGAAACTCCATAGAGATTTCCAAGAGATTTCCATTACACAATGGAGCACCATAAAAAAGATAAACGAATCAATGGTAGGAAAATAGATGCACTTGGAGAACATAACAGTAAGTAAGGTAAATCCAACCTATGAGTTTAATTATCATATAGTGTCTCGTATATGAAGAAATAGACTTACTAGGAGAAGAGAAAGAGATTATAATTCAGAGTGGACAGCCTACCTAAATGTGTATCTTGACTTAGTACAATGGTCTTTTATATGTTCTTTGGCCTATTAGTCTGGTTTTCAATCTTTATATACAATAATTAACATTATAAGTTTTCATAAGATAAACTTAGTTAATCTGAGGTTGAAAAACTCAAAGCGTGGAAGGAAGGGGAAATAATTGAAATATGTTAGGTATATGTACTAATTCTCACAATGAATGCAGTCAATATGTACCACAAACATGCATCAATAAGAATTAAAGGACGGTTTTGTACTTGGTAGAGTAATTGTGCTTTTATCTGGAAATATTTATAGCATTAAGGAGTTACTTAAATCACAACTTCCCAAAAGAAGTTGTTGCCCACAAATTATTTTAATCACCTTAATATCAATTTATTTATAATGTAAGCTAATAATTTTTAAAAGTTATTTCCTGTCATTTACTTGAATAGTTTCTAAGTTTATAGCATAAAATACATGTATTCCAAATTCTCTAGCATTACAGAATAGTCTAAGTTCACATTTTCCTCTCTCCTTGCTTTGAAATCTTATATGAGGATATTCTGCACCCAGTTTCCAAAGCCATGCAGAGGTCACAATACAATGAGTTTTAAAAGGCCAGAAACCAAAGGATGTAGCAGAAGAAAAACTGGAAACTGAATTCTTGATAATAACGTTGAGATCCTTCACCAAACTAGAACAGCTACGACTAGACTTAGTGTTACATGGGTGATTCAGTGGGTTTATTGCTTAAGAAAAGGTCTGGTATCTGTTAATTCTGCTGGAATGAATGCAGATGTCTCAGTTAAATTTCTTCAGGGACTGGTCAATAATTTCAGTGCATAGATACTCACCATCAATTACTGCACTAATGACAAAGCAATGAGAGAGCTTTGGTTTTTCATGTTTTTTCCTTTATATGCTAATTTATCCTATGTGTAATTATTACAGTCAGAATATTTTGCATGCAGCTTAAAATGTACTAATCATTGATTTCTTGAAATGTTGAAAACAGAATAACTCCATATGAAGAAAAGAAGCGTTAACAAAGCTGTACTATTATTCGTTTGTAAGAACATAATAACAAAATGAGCAAAATTCAGTACATATGAAAGAACCACTGGGATGAAAATTTCCAGTTTGCCAGCTCTCAGCATAAGCATTCATTTATATGATGAACCGCAATCCACAGGGCACACATCAGCCCACTTAACACAGCGAGAGAATCCAGGCCATCCTGTCTGCTATCAACCACCAATAACCAGGGCTGCTGGGCTCCCGAGAGTTTTCCCGGCTGACTGATGGCTTCATTCCTGATAACACATGAGTTATCACCCTCTTATTTATGATTTATATAAAAATTCACTTTTAGGTCTCTGCTCTTTTGGGAGGGTGGAAAGGAACCCACACTGACCGGCGCAGCCCCCCAATGAGACAGAGGACGCTCTTGTGGGTAACAGGTAACTGCCGCTTCATTGACACGGGTTCTGGCTTATATATCTGACTGTGGCCAATCAGGCTGCCACGAGGGCTGCCACGAGGAGGCAGGGCTGGTATGGGACGCGGGCTCTGGCTAATATACCAAGCTGCGGTCAATCAGGGGTTGCCACAGAGTCAGCACGGGGCAAATACGAAGTGAGCACGGGGTGGCTAATTTGGAGAGGGACGTAGCGCATTGCGGAAGCTGGTGTGGTCCTTAGTCCTGGGTAGGGTATGGTATGTTGAGCGCTTGCGCCCAACACCACACGAATTCAGATCTAAGCAGTTGGACTTTTGAATCCGTGCCAAGCTAGTGGGGCATCACAAGAGGCAGGAGGGGTCCTGCTAAGGAGCAGGTGTGTGCAAGCTGACCTTCAACCTTAACTTCTATTCTTAAAGTTAAAAAAAAAAAAAAAAAAAAAAAAAAAAAAAAAAAAAAAAAACCCTTGGGGAGTTAATGATTTTTGGTCCAATTTCCCCTACTTTTAAATAGAAATTAATAATTTCCACTTTAAAATGATGCTGTGAGTAGCAGTTGAGGCAGTACCTGGCGAGTAGCACAGAATGAGCTGAGTGAATACCAAGCATTCCTGAGATGGACTCAGAACTGCTATCACAGTCAGGGAAAAGGGCTGATGTGTGGCTCCATGGCACAGTGAGTGTCTAGTATATGCAAGTTTTCCAGTTCCCTCTACAGAAGGAAAAGAAAAACTAACTGAGCCTAACTTATGTTCATGGGTACAATAATTTTAATGTTCATTGGTGTGTATGCTAGCATTATGATGTTCAAAGGAACACTTGAGACAGAAAGTAAATTTAAAAAGTATCTCTACTTACAGGAAAGGTAGAACAGAGGGTAAAAGAAGCACTTAGAATATCATGCTAAGGATGCTAGGATAAAACAGGGAGTTAACACTATGGAAGCCTGAGAATGGAGCATGAAATAGGGTGAATGACTCAGGCAGCGATGTTTCTATTCAGGCTACGGCATGAGCATTTCTGTCAGTGGGAAGGCAGATCATTTTTTAAAGTTAACTGTGAGAATATTTCACAGGAGGAGTCAGGAGGCAGTCGTGATCAGTTGTCTTCCAGTGTATTAAGACAAACTGTATGCATTCAGAGGAAAGAATTACCTGTCAAGTTTCAAAAAAACTTCAGAATTGGAAAAAATGTGCAATGGCCCATAAATGCATTAAGTGCTTTATGTTCCTATTTCAAAAGTTTGATACTAAATTCATTTACTGTATAATATTTTGATGTTTGGCTACAAAAGTTTAACAGAACTGAAAAGATAGGAAAATCAAAGAGAAGAAAAGTAATATGACATAATTTATTTAGGGAAGTTTAATTATTAGGAAAATATCTGCTTGCAGATATTTGAGTATAAAATAACATATTTGACAGAGGGAACATTAACAAGGTTTTCAGCAACAAATATGACAGAAATATTGCCACATGAGCACCTTCATAATCCTTCTATAACCTAATTTTTAGCCAAAACGTTGATATTTTTCTAATTATGCTATCAGCATTGGGAAGGAATAAATCACATATAATGAATTTGTTTAAATATCTGCAAGTATATTCTGAAATGGGTCAGAAAGTATCAATAAACCGAGACCATTTGTTTTGTGCAAAACAGGAAAGCACTATTGTTGTCACTTTAATCCTCCTTCCCTTTCTCTCCCCTCCTCCAGCCTCCAGACTTTCCTACTTTCCTGGCTTCTTTTTCTGTATTTCTTTGGCATGGGAGCATCCCTGTTGCCCACCGCCTGTGTCCCTGCTCCCCTTGGTCTGGCCACTGACCCACTTGGCACTGGTGCTGAAGTGGCAGCACCAACCTCAGCCTCCAGAGCCCTGCTCACGCCCACTGGGCCTCTGCTGTCCGACTTCTTTCTTCTGCCCTTAATAGCTGCTGCATCCTGCCTCTGTTTTATTATGCTGCCCTCATTTTTATTGTCTGTCTTGTTTCGTTCCCTGGACTCCAGGATCCCAGAAGGCAAGTGTTGGATTTGCTCAGGTAAATGACATAACTCATGGGCATAGAATAACACTGTGTGGCCCAAAATAGTTCACAGAGAATACACCTCTAAATCTACTTAATTGGGAAAAGTCAACTGATAAATTATACAGCACACTAAATTGCATCTCTATTAGAAACGTTACTGTTCTATTTAACAGAAACAATCATAACCTATCAAAGTCATATTTTATGTGTTTAATAAACACAGATTTTAAAACTTTAACCCTCATAACAGTCATTTTGTCCACACAAGCATTTTCTCCACACAGATACAAGGAGAGAAAATGGAGGGAATCACAGTGGACCCCTCTGTGCTGTGAAAAATCTCACACCTATAGCAGCCTCCAGGACAAGTGGAAAGATCAGTATTGGCCCCCCATTGAGTGCTCACAAAGACAGAAAGGAAAACAAGCGTGCTAGGGATCCTCTCCAGCTCCCACACTTCAGCTCCCTTGTGGTGGGAGGCCATGATGTACACTATGCGCTCCTGCTGCTCTGTGGTCAGCAGTGGTTCAGTCCAGGCTTACACAGTTTACTCAGGAGAGACATGCGGGAAGGAACCACTGGAAAACATGCATTGATTTTTGCTGATCTTTCACTTCAAAATTAATCACATTGAATTTTCATTGGTGATATGGCATAGTTTATATTTGATTGTCAATACTAATTTTGCTGGAAAAATTGTTTTCAGTTTCTGCCTTGAGAAGCTAATAGGGACAACATACTTGTAGCTAGAGACAGGAACCAACATTACAAAAGAGTTTAATCCTGATCTACTCAATATTCTATGACATTTTACTTAAATATAATCTCTGATATTATGGATTGTAAATTTCCTTCCAGAACATAAGTACTCCTAAATTTTGTGCCCATGTGAATACTTTACTTGGCCTGATGAAACTCAGATGATTGCATCCTTATTCACCTTATCAAATTCTATTGAATTACAACATGTTTTGTGAAAAATCATATAACATTTATTCTTGTACTTAATAGCATTGATCCATATATTCAAGGTCTAGAAATCAAAATTTCTTACTTTCCCAGATTGTGTTATTTTCAGTGTTATGTTACCATGATGAAATAACATTTTAGCCTATTTATAAAAATGGATGAAAATACTACAGTCTAATATTAACGTTGGGTCTTTATTCACTGTTGCCTTATAATGATTAAAATTTATCTTTACAATTCAAAAACATTTTAAGGACATAGTTTACATATACTGTGAGGATTTATTCTCTTGTTTATTTTTATCTTTGGTCATCTATAAACATTAGCTTCCTCATAGTATTACACAAATTCATCAGTATTCCCTTAAGGAAATACAGAAAATGCAAAAAAAAAAAAAAAAAAAAAAATTGAAGTGTGCTGCACTGCTCATGGGCCAAAAGTGTAAATGTGTTAAAGATGGCTCACTTTTAAAAACTGAACCACTGATAGAAGTAGTGGAATAGGATGTTACTGGGGTAGAGACCTCACTGAGGGGCAGGGATGGCAGCCTGTTTATCAGGCTGACAAGCAGAAAACCACTGGCTAATTCAGTGAAGCTAATTTAAACTACTGATGCAGCACCTCAGGATAACGAGCTAATAATGGCTGGCTGGCAGGCTGCTTGTGGTACTCAGGAATATGCCTGAGGTGTCACAGTGAGCCACTCTGCACCCGTAAAGGACAAAACGAGGCTGGTTGTTTACTGGTCCTTTTGTGCAGCAATGCCTTTCCCACAGAAATTTAACAGTTAGGAAGCAATGTAATTCTGGGAGCAATAGCAAGTTCATAGATTCCATTAACCAACTGGGACCCTTTTCAGCTGAGCACAATAACTACAGAAATGTTCCCCTATGCTAATAATTTAAAACAAAATTTGGGAAACCTTTATGGCTCATGCAATATTTGTCATTTTGAAAACAATAAAGTAATGGCAGATTAAAGCTTTAAAGTGTGCAGACCCAAATATGTATTTAATGTCAATCTACATAGTCAAATAAAGCAAAAGACAGTGTGAGAAATATGGTTTCATAGAGTACATCAGGATAAAATAATAAATAATTATTTGAATTAGGGCCATAAACAGGATCAAGGAATTAAAGTTAATTAACTGCCGTGAGTTTCTTGAATGCTATCAGGAATGAACCACTTGCTTTTGTACTTCATTGTTTCATTTCCCTACCCCCAGTGTAGATAAATCTGCTGTATTTCCTATATGATTTAGGAGATAAGTAGCTAAATTGTGATTATATTTATTATCCTTAGTTGCCTCAGTACATTTACATACAGGGTAGAAAAAAATACCAAGTAAAGAGGTGCACAGGAAGTGCAGCAGTGTACAGCTACAACAAAAGCTGATCTGAAATTTGACCACGGATTAGAAAATGATCAAATTCAGGAAGGAGACACATTTTCACAAACTTCACTTTGCAGGTTGCAGTTCACAGTGACACTAAATGATTTCTGTCTTTCAGCATGAAGAAACCTTGATTTAAAAGTTAGTCCTTTAAGAAGTAAATACATTTGTTCTTTAAATGATTTTCAAATTTGAGGTACTAGTATAATCTTAGTACACAAAGCGTTTGCTATTGGAGTCTGTAGGAGCTATCATTTCAGATGTTCTTTTAAATGAGGAGAAACCATAGAAGAGCCTAAAGGAGCTCTGCTTTTAGTTTTTGGAGGAGTCTCTACACTGTCCTGCATCGCTCCCTTGACCAGGTACTTAGAGCAGCCACAGCGGCGGAGTACAATGGGCTGTGATTGCCAGGGCGTCCCCAGAGGGCAGTTACTGTTTAGTGGGTACAATTTTACAATTCCAAGAAGAGTAATGCAGCTGCGTGACAGTGGCACTTGACAACATTTGGCATGCGTTAAGTACACTTGGCAACTTTTACGTTCATGTAACAGAATATTTTAAAAAGTAGCTAATAAATACAACAATACTTGGGAAGGTCATCAAAGAACCTTGTTCCTATTTTATCTAGGTCATACAATTTTTCTATGTACAACTATTCATAATACTCACCTAATGTCATTTCTGAGATTTTGTAGGATCATTAGTAATGTCCTGAGCTTCATTTCTGATTTTAGTAATTCGAAAATTCCCTTTTTTTCTTAGTCCAACTTTTTAAATGTTGGCCAATGTTTGGATCCTGTCAATGAATCAGCCTATTAAGTCTTGCAGTCTGACATTGTCTATACTGTTGGACCTAGCTGATTTATTGTGCTATATCCTCTATTTTATAAGTGGCCTTTTCTCTGGCTACTCTAACAGCCACTGATAATCCAGGACTGATTTTAGAGCAAAAGCCACTATTGCTCTGTTTTGGTCATCACAGTATTTTATAGAATATATTTTCCATCCTTTGATTTTCAATTTTTTAAGAGCTACTTCATCTTAGATTCATCATTTGTATTCATTTGTATACCTGATTCATTTGTATTTTATATTTTAATTGCCAATAAAATAAGTACTATCTTTTATTTGTATTTTAAAAGAATAGTTGGAACAAGTCTTGAAAAGCTATTTGGCCAATATCTGTCTTCTGACTAACCAGTTTACTTTATTCATGTTGAAGTGATTATTGATAAAGCAAGATAAACCAGAACCATTTGCACATTTGTTTTCTATAGGCTTTATCATTTCCCAAAGCCTGTACTATCTTCTTTCAAGTTTAGTTGATTTTATGATGAAATATTAAACATCCTTTCTAATCAATTTTCTTTGTATATATTGTAGGACCACATTAATTGCATTAACTGTGAAAAATTAAAATTAACATCCTAAAGTTCTGATATCAGTTTGAATTTATATTAGTTTACTTTCAATAGCATAGAATTATTTTTCCTTAGCTCCTCCCCATCTTTTAGTTGTTGATATCACAAAGGAACATTTTTATAGTCTGCCAATAGTTCTTTTAATTGCACTATTCTCTTAAATTTTGTTAAGTAAAATAAAGGAGGTGGAAACCAAACACATTATTACAATAATCCTATTTTTATAATCACCCATGTCTTCACCTTTACTAGATCTTTCTCTTTTTGCTCTGGTTCCATCCTGACTCCTGTGCTTTCTTTTCAACCCATAGGCTTTTCCCAGCATTTCTTGCCAAGCAAGAAGAACTGTAACAAATGCTAACATCTCCCTTTTTTGCAAGTGACTTGAACTATCTTTCACTTTCTGAGGACAGTTTCTGCTAAGTATCAGATTCTTGGTGCAGAATTCTGGTTTGTGTCTTTCATCACTTTCTACTTAGGCGCACTGCCATCTGGCTTCCACAGTTTTTATTTTATAAGGAACTGGCTGTCAGAAAACTTCTGAGGAGCAGGTTTGTGTTATTTCTCTTTTTCAAGAAACTTTGCTATTTGAAAATTAAATAATAATGTGTCTGGGTTTTGGTCACTGGGTTTGGTCACTTCGAGATCATCTTACCTTGAGTTCATGGAATGTCTCTTACCCATGCCTTTCATCAAAACTGAAATTCTTAGCAATTATTTCTCCAAATATTGCTTTTTTTTTTTTTTTGGTCTTTCTTCTTCTTGAGTTTTGATCAGCTGTAAGCAGTCAGATTGACTCCTACAAATATTACGAAGAAGTGAATTTTTGCTCACGTATTGTTTGGAGAATAATGGTAATCAATGAGCAAAACCACCTATAATTGCAAATACAGCTCCTATGGACAATACGTAGTGGAAATGGGCAACTACGTAGTAGGTGTCGTCTAAGACAATGTCTAATGAGGAGTTGGCTAATACAATACCTGTTAATACTCCAACAGTAAATAGGAAAATGAACCCTAGAGCCCACAGTATTGCAAGGGATCATTTACTATTACCTCCGTGTAGTGTTGCTAATCAGCTAAATACTTTTACTCCTGTAGGAATTGCAATAATTATTATAGCAGATGTACAATATGCTCGTGTGTCTATGTCTATTCTGATGGTAAATATGTGAACTCAAACAATAAATCCTAAGAATCCAATAGACATTATAGCTTATACCATTCCTATATACCCGAATGGTTCTTTTTTACCAGAGTAGTATGTAACAATATGTGAAATCATTCCAAAACCTGGTAAGATAAGGATATAAACTTCAGAGTGTCCAGAGAATCAGAATAAGTGTTGATATAGGATGGGGTCTCCTCCTCTGGCTAGGTCGAAAAAAGTTGTGTTTAAATTTCGATCTGTGACTAGTATAGTAATGCCTGCAGCTAGTATGGGTAGGGATAGGAGAAGGAGAACAGCAGTGATTAAAACTGATCAAACAAATAATGAGTTTGATATTGTGTCATTGCAGGGGGTTTTATATTAATAATGGTTGTAATAAAATTGATTGCTCCCAGGATTGAAGAGACACCTGCTAAGTGAAGTGAAAAAATGGTTAAATCTACAGAAGCTCCAGCACGTGCTAAGTTTCCTGCTAAAGGGGGGTAGATGGTCCACCCTGTTCCAGCCCCAGCTTCAATTATTGAGGATGAGAGTAAGAGTAAGAATGATGGAGGAAGAAGTCAAAAGCTTATATTGTTTATTCGGGGGAAGGCTATATATCAGGGGCACCAATCATTAAGGGAACTAATCAGTTTCCAAATCCTCCAATTATAATTGGTATGACTAAGAAGAAAATTAGAACGAAAGTGTGGGCTGTGACGATTACATTATAGATCTAATCATCCCCCAGCAGTGTCCCAGGTTGGCCTAGCTCTTCTCGAATTAGCAGACTCAGGGCGGTTCGTACTATCCCAGCTCAAGCACTAAAGAGGAGGTACAGTGTGTCGATGTCTTTGTGATTAGTAGAGAATAATCAACTATTAACTAACATAAGTACAGGCAGGTAAGATGGCCGAGTAAGCATTAGACTGTAAATCTAAGCACAGAGGTTGAACCCTCTTCTTATCAATGAGCCCCGAGGTGATAATTCATATTGAATTACAAATTCAAAGGAGCAGCTTCAATCCTGCCAGGGCTTCTCCCACCTTTTTTTTTTTTCTTTCTTTTTTTTTTTTTTTTTAAGGGCAGGAGATGTAGGTTGAAGCCAGGTGACTAGGGTATTTAGCTGTTAACTAAAGTTTCGTGGGGTTGGAGCCCACCAATCTAGTGAGGACTTAGCTTAATTAAAGTGTCTGATTTGCATTCAGTCGATGCAAGATGGAAGCTTGCAGTCTTTAAACAGGGGATAAATAATGTTTAATATTTACTTAGAGCTTTGAAGGCTCTTTGTTTGTTTAACCTAATCCTCTAGTACAGAATATTGGTTATTGGTGTGAGTGGAAGGAGAAGGGTGGAGATAATTAAGATTGTGGGGAGTAGTGAATTGTGTTTTGTGTGCTGGTAGTGTCATTTTATTTTTGTATTGTTTTTTGAAGGAAATAAGGTTAGTGATGTTGAATACACTAGAAATATAGGTTGAGCAGGGCTATGATGGTTATTGCAGTAGGGACAATGATGTTATTATTTTTTACTATTTCTTGAATAATTAATCATTTAGGAGCGAACCCAGTTAGAGGCAGAAGGCCTCCTAATGATAGGAGAGTAATTATTATTATTGTGGTTAAGAGTGGGGGAATATTTCAAGTGTGGCTTAGAGAGGATGTAGTTATGTTGTTATATATAATAAATATAGATAATATGGAGGCTGTGAGGAAAATATAAATGATATAGTCTATTAGTATAATAGATGGATTATAGATTAAAATAGCTACTATTCATCCTATGTGGGCAATTGATGAGTATGCTATGATTTTTCATAGTTGTGTTTGGCTTAAACCTCCTCATTCTCCTAATAGAATTGATAGGATGGCTGAAGATAGGATCAGGGGTTTGCTGATCATTGAGAATGATTTGAAGAGGATGGCTAAGGGGGCTATTTTCTGTCAGGTTAGTAGAATGAGGCTGGACAATAGAGGAATGCCTTGTTATACTTCAGGTACTCAAAAGTGGAAGGGGGCTATAGCAAGTATAACACAAGCACAAACTATATGCCCTGCAATCATAATGCAGAGCACAAATAGTCATACTCAGTGAATAATACATATTTCCACTTATATAACTTTCAAAATCTAGCATTAGTTGTATGTGGGAACGACAAGCTATATACCCCTTGTCTTCAATGCTGATAATACGTAGCACTATTAAATACTGTGATTTCAATAACAAAGTCACAAGGAGAACTTATTGAGGTCCAATCCCATCACCCACAATGCAAGATCCAAAGCTGAAAACTGTGCACAATTATAATTTTATCAAAATCTGATTTATGCTGTCGTAGCATTGTATGAAGTCTTTTGTACTGTCATAGAACTTCGTGATTAGAATAGGCACTTTGAAAGTAGCAATTTATGTGATCATTACTATAGCATTTGTACATTGTATGATCAACTTTCTATTAATTTTAGATTTGACATCATCATTTGAAGATGAAGCTCTGTAAATAATAAGTGACACCAGCTTTTCTCTCTTTCAAATATTTAGCAGAAATGTGATTGCAGTGAGTATGTTTCTAGTTTAATCTGAATTTAAAGACCAGCCTGATTTTTCCTGAAACATACATAACTTTAAACTGCTAGCAAAAAAATTTCGATCACCCCAGACTAAATCTGTAATCTGTACTATCTTCCACTAAAATGAAAATGAAGTTTGCCAGAGTCAGTGGTTTCAAAATCCAAGGCAAAGAAATGGAGCATACAGCAGTATTTATTCTCGCAGTAGATAAAGGGCCATTAAACTGGAGGTCACAATACAGGCATAGGCCTGGAAGTCCTAACATTGCCTAGTAGAGTAGCAATTCATACCTAACTCAGTACTGTACTGTGCATTCTCCCATCAGAACCAAACCATCAGACCTACTACCACCGTGAATGTGTAACCCCGGGAACCAGAACCTTCCAGGAGAAATACTGCCAGTCTTCTATTTGTGATCCTCGACACATATCCTGGTGTTCATCAGTAGACAGACATAACACAGACAAGGAAATGTATGAGTAGCCAAAGGCTGAAGGGATAGATGGAGGCATGAATGGGTGGACGGATGGGTATACTCATGTGAAGCTATTAATGATTCTCACACACACTGAATCCACGCAGAACACTGGGTTTCTTAGCACTTTCTGTTCTAATCAGGAATCGACATTAGAACACCAGTTTCAAGCCCACAGTGACTCAAAATTCTTTAAAAATGTAAGGCTGACTTGGGTCCCCGTCTATAAGAGGTTCTGATCATCAAAGGGTGCACTAGTCTGCACGTGAAGGTCCACTGGAAAGGCCTGCATGGATAATTCACTTCATGCCCACCCTAACCTCTAAGCTACCTGTGGTTCCCACTGTTCCGAGTCAGTGCAAGTGTACTTCCCGCGCTGAGGAGCAGTGAACCCTAATGCATGCCACAGCCTGGAGCAGGCTGTGAGGGAGGGAAGTGTTTGGCTGTGGCTGGGATCATCCTCGGGCTCAGCCTCAGGGCCCATTTCCCTGCCGCCTGTATGCTCTATGCCTGCTTAGCTTCTGGTTACCTGTTGCTCTAAGTGGCTGCTCAGGAAGCCCGTGCTTGCCTCAGCTCTTAGGAACAGAGACAAGGGAGCCTCTTTCCGATTTGTGATGATGACTCAGGGTATCTGAACTGTCCTTGAGTCTCCGCCCTTGGCTTGGGACCTATGCAGCAAAGGTCACTCTGGGGAGCCAGAGGGTGGTGTTGGGTGTGTTCATGAATCCGATTTTGTAAAACAGAGTAACTTGCTCAGTGCACCAGCCTCATGGGACAGAATGAGAAGAGAATTTGCGGAAGGTGCAAACAGCTTCCAGTTTCCCCAGTAATTATGAGTGACAGGCAGATGGCAGTGGGCGGGGCAGCTGGGAGAGCTGCCCACCCAGGTGAAGGTTCTCCAGCCCCACACTCAGCAGCTCCTATCTGCACCACCTTCTGGGACTGCACTTTCACCACCAGGACTCTGCTGAGCTTGGGCTGCACGACTTAAATGAATCTGTCCTTGACGTTGAAGGCTGAGGCCCACACGCACTGCTGGTACACCTCACCCTGGGCTTCGATGCAGACCTTGTCTTGCAGTAGGAGACAGAAAGCGACACCCACAGTGAGCATGCAGCGAGGGGAGCTCGTGCCTGGAGCTCGTATGGTAGCCACAGAAGGCGTTAACAGGGCAGGAGGCCCATGCACCAGTCTCCGTTCAGAGCGAAGTCAGTAACCAGGCCACACAAGGGCATCTAGGTCCTCACTCACTGAGTTTTCTAGAGAAACGTGCTACTTTCAGAATTTCTCTCTGGTTTACACCTCCACCAGTTCGCAAATGCACAGTGCAGCCAGCGCTCCCCGCATTGTCTCCTTCTCCAGCTCCTTGCAGGGCCGCAGGTCACAGGCCTGCACCTCCGTGGACCCATCCTCGGGCCACTGCATGCTGACCATGGAAAGAAGGTGCGTTGGATGGTCACGATGACTCAAAAACAAGGAAGAACCCGAAAGTCCTAACTCCTTCTTCTATTTTGTCAGTATATTATTGTTAAGGGATTCACGGTCTTTGTGATTCACTCCGAGAGACACAAGTAGAAGTCAGTTTAAACTGTGACTTAACTCATGATTTGTATCTTCATTTTAAATACATTAGTGATCCTCATGGTTTACAGTTAGAAAGTCTACTAAGAAGAAAGATCCATTGAACTGCATGCTAGATATATGTGCGATGATAAATGTCTATTGATGTAATAGTAGTAAACAACTATTTCAATGTTTCGCTTGATTCATTGTTTAGGTCTCAATGTTAATGGTTAATATCTAATTTATTTGATTTGTATAACCCAGTTATTATCTCATAGGCCAAGTTCTTTCTTTTTCAGTTTTTATGGAGGATTAGTTCTTCTGTACAGATCTCATTTAGTATTTGTGTTTAACAGACATGAAACAAATCAGTGACACTTTCAAAGCTGGTCACAATGGCACACACCCATAATCCTGGTTAATGATTGGGTTGAGACAGGAGAAACTTGATTCAAGGATTTCAGGAAAAGTCTTGTTAATATTGCAAACCCATCGCACAAAGAAATGAACACCTCGCTTTCACTATAAATTTCACTGAGAATTCGTTTTTTTTTTTTTTTTTTTTTTTTTTTTTAATAATGCTGGCAGCAGCTGTATCACATGTGACACCGAATAGTCACGTGATACCTAACACTGTAACCAGCGCAGTCACTACAGTTGGTTTTTCTGTTTGCAAAGAAGTTGGAGGATAGTCTAAATACAAGAGGACACGGTAGAGTCGTGGTCTGTTGTTTACGTTTTCCAAACACTTAGGCTAATTTGATAGGCGCCTGCGATGCTGCTGATATTCAAGTCCAGTCCAGGCTGCAGGCTCATTCCAGGTGTACAGAGACCCGCTCTCCCCAGAGAGCTCAGGCTGCTGGGCCCAGGGTGGGAACCTGGCGCCTGGCACAGCTGCCTCGGTGTGGGTGTGACGGACTGGGCAGTGGGGGCGGGATCCCATCACGGGTGCACGGAGCCACCACTGAGTCCTGGACACCCGGGGAAGGGGAGTCTGCACCCAGCACCTGCTCGGGCCGCGCGGCCCTGTGGTCATCGCTGCTGTCCGCTGACCTGCAACCACCCTCTCTGCAGCCGGCCTCTCTGCAGCAGGGCTGAGCCTCGCCAAGGAGGAGGAGGACTCATATGTGGAAACGACACGCATGAAATTCGCCCTTGAGGGCATCTAGAGGGGAACTTGGGACCTAAGTTCCGTGAAAGGCTTGGGATATAGGGAAATGGTTTACAAAGTCTTTGCTCTCCTGTAAAAACTGCGGAGAAGCCCTGCCAAAGCAATGAAAAGTAGGAGTGTCTGGAGACCTGTCAGCCAGGTAAGCACAGGGCCAGGCCGCGGGGGCGGAGCCACTGGGGGAAAGAAGCCCTGGCAGGGAGTCAGTTTCTATCTGCCTGCTGCTGCCCTGAGACATCCCTGGCCTAACTTCCAACCATGTCTACAGAGCTACTAAAGTTTCCTGATGGTCACATGGATTTTATTCTCTTTGTCTTACGTTGTTTGTTATTTCTGATGGTAGCCCATTAAATCCACTTAATAATAGCAAGCATACTTTTCAGATTACATAGATATTTATTTCTGTGTATTAGAACTGAAGAAAAACGTTTTTGTTTCATGCCTTAGACGTTTAGTGAATAAAAGGAAGATAAAAATATCAGAGAAAAAACATAAGATTAAGATAACACACCCTGAAGAAGAAAACCATCAGGAACAATATCAGAGTGTCATTAAGCCTCGTTCTGTAGGAACATACTCCACGGAGAGGGACAGGGATTAATAAGATATTAAAGCTAATGAAGATGAGTCAATAGAAGAAGATAATTCTGCTCCTAATTAGAACTTAGTCCTGCTGGGTTGTTTCCATATTAAACTGCATCTCCTGCATATATATTACCTTGTCCCAGAATTTTAGAGGATTACAAGATAGGTTACTACAGAAGGTGAAAGTTTTTAGTTCACAGTTATGGTCGTGTGAATGGTAGCACATTGTCTCATCTTCTATTTGTACCTCCCACTTTTCTTTATTGCAATGATTAACCAGCGAAATGCTTTGCCCTCCAATCTGAATTCCCACAGTTCTTTCCTCACTGGTTCTTCCTACTGAGCACAGGATGCCCATCTCGGAAGGCGACAGTGTTGGTAGGTCAGCTCCATTACCCTGGCAGGCCAGCTCTGTGGGCTCAGGCGTGGCTCCTGCTTCCTGGTCCCAGATCTACCAGTGTTCCTCACTGCAAGCAAGACTTGCAGTGCTGCTCAATTACAAACACAGTGAGTCTCACAGCATACACCTTGCCTCCAAACCTGAGAAATAAACTATAAAAACATTAAATGTATTTGCTTGCTTTACTTTTAGGTCATTTATCTACTTTTCTTCAAAAATCACTTTCTACAACTACACTTATTTCTCAGCCTTTCGTTCTAACCTACCTGACCTCCAAGAGCCTCTGATGGTATTATTCTTTTACCAAAGTGATGTTGCCAAACTCACCAGAGGCCCCAGAATTTCCCGTCACCCATCCTAGTCTTTTCCTGGGGTTCCAGGAGCACTCACTCCATGAGGAAGCCTGCATATAGCTGTGCATGTAAGTAACATGGGCGGGTGGAGAAAGCCTTGTCCTTGCATTACAGTTTCAATCGGCCTGTAATTTCCACTGGCCTGGGTTGTTTCAAACATTTGAATTCCTGTGAAATGTTCTCTTTTCTAAGGCAGAGAACAGCAAGTGAGAACCCCAAGGCCAAATCCAGCTCAGTGTCTGTGCTGATGTAGGCTGGGGGCTAACAATGTTTTCTCTGTCTTTTGCTGATTACAGAAAAACAGAAAGAAAAAAAAAAAAAGATACAGTTTTATGACATGAAAATAGTACACAAAATTCCGATTTATGCAGACTAAGTTCATAAGGACCCAACTGCACGCATCCATTTAAATGTCACTGATTGTTTTCATCAAGCATCCACAATGACCATCGAGATGCAAAGCAGAAGAGACTCATTACAGGGACATTCATTGGCTGAAGACATCATGAATGCCTGTTTTAACAGGAAGCTCCAGTCCAGATGTTACTTCAGTCCTCTTAGCTAAAGTCTTTCTGACTATAGCAGCTTCTTTATTTTCTGTTGCTTAATTTTATCTTTAGGAAGGCCAAAACTCAAACTAATTTACTGGCCTATTTCCTTTATATTAAACTCCTCCCATGGCTCTTTCATCCCAATTACTTAGTAAATATCATGATCACAGGATAACACGTTTCAGTTTGAGTTCTAAAGCTGTCAGTCTCCAGTAGAGTTAAATTGGTTTTACATTCATAGTCTAAGTGACAAGATGAAATCAGGTGTACAGCTAAGATAAATATAGCAAGAATCTCGTAGCTCACAAAACAAAAGTCAGAAAAAGAGATAAGACAGTCTGTGACACATCCTCAAAGCTGAACCTAATGTAATCTGATATTGCACTGAAATTGAATTTTAATTTAGAGCAACCAAAGAGTATTTTTAAGAGGTTTGAAGGAAGATTAAGTATTCCCTCATTTTTAATCTTAATCTTACTGATCACAAGTTACATTTGGAATTGCACTGTCATTCTCTTAACTTTAACTATGAAGGACAAACGTATGGTATTCATGCTTAATCTTTACTTATGGGAGGAAAATGATTCCAAAAGACACATTTCAACCACTTATACCAAAGAGATTTGTCTTCTAAAATCCTACAAACTAACTTCCTTCTATCCTGGAAACCCAGGCCATCTTAGGCAGTATATCCACATACAGAAATACTGAACACTTGGACCCTTGAGGTTCTTTCTACATGAAACAATCCAATGATAAATTATTGAATGAGATGTTTCACATCAATGACAGAATAACACTGTTTTGAGGGAATTAGAAAGTTGGAAATATCAAGATAGGGAGAGAATTAAATGTATACGTCTTTAGGGTTTGCAAAAGGGAATGAACACCCAAAGCCTGAGGGAATAGTAATTTTGCTACATTCGTTTAAACCTTGTTTCTTGAGCACTCATTGTGCATAAGGCACTGAACTGAGAGTGTGGAGAATAAAGAGTTATTCAACCTAGTCCTGGACTGCAAGAGAGAAAGGATGAGACTGTGGATTTCTTGTGATCAGTGTCACATGCTGTGGCGCCCATTTCCCTGGCACACACCCCTCAGTGCTGTGGAATGACTGACATTTGCATATGGTACCTATGAAATTCCCCTCTGCTGCTCGTGTAGCCTGGCACAGATGGTTGGCCTTAACAGCCAGCACTCATGCACTCAGAAGTACACCAAACCCCAACATTTAAATGTATTCTGCAGTAAGAATGAAAATAAGAATTGGTTTGTGTATACTTGATTTTATTTCGTATACAGAAGCTAAAATAATTAAATAAAAAAGTCTTTCTTTTTGCTATAAATGATTACCAACATATTTTATATTTAAAATTATAAGCAGGAATTAGTTTCAGCAGTTCACATTTTATATTGTTTCTATGATTTTACAATAATGCGTCAGCTGACATCTACTTAATTTCCAGATCCAAAGCAGTATGATGTCAGAAATTAAAAACACAACATTATGTGACAGTCACTCAATTCTGAGACATACAAACATGTCTCTTACTCTTCTTGTGTTTTCCTGAAGAGTACAGAACTTTTTGTTTTTATTTTACTTAGTATAGGATCACAAATTTCCAAAATGAAAATTTATCCTCATCTTGAAATATGCATTTCTAAGTTTACTTCACACACAATATGACTGTAGATTTGCAGAAACTATGATTTGGAAAACCTGAGGTAATGATTAGAAATTTCTTGAAATTTTCAGTGACCAGGTATTGCTACTTCACCATGGAGAAGGTTCTCTGGTTAGAGGCATGTGTGAAGGCACCCAACATTCCTAACTTCTCTTCATTCTTTAACTTACAGAAAGCTATACACAACTTATACAGTTCTTCCAATATATTATGCATTTGTATCTACTAATACATACAAATGCATTCATGCTTTGATTTATATAACTATTTGACAGCATATTTAGAATTGTCAATATATAGTATATAGATAAATAAATATACTGCATATATGGAGTAGTTTTTCATTTGTTTGTTTGTTTTTTGGCATCAGGGATCAAACTCTTGACCTCGCGCTTGCCAGGCAGGTGTTTATGCCACTAGTCTAAATTCTTGGTCTCATGTGTAGTTTTTATTTCTGTATTTTTAGAGGGATGTCAAAGTGTTTCAACAATGTAAAGATAGAGATTCAGCTAAGTGAAGTTCACATCAATGTTGCTGAGGCATTTCACCAAACTACAGGCTTAAATGCTTGTTTTTTCAGCTCTGGATTCCTAGTCGCTGGACTAACCCATTCAGGGCCATCACAGTTGTTTTTGAAAAACTCATTCTTTACTAGCTGATACCATTAAATTCTACATGACATAGGAAGAAGATAGATTCTTTGTCTTTAAATTTGCAAATCAGACTTGAGAGGTAATAGTTTTGTGGTAAACAAAACTAAACAGAGTAGACTTCATATATTACTTTCTTAGTACTGTTTGGAGCTAATGTTTCAAGTTCTATGATATACCCATGGTGCCTGCACATCTCAGTATCAGTAAGAAGTTTAAAATTCTGTGATATAATTGTGTCAGTAGAATGGTTGATACATTGTGTCAAGTTAAGAAGTGAGAAGTTCAGAAGCTTGATGAAGTGATTCAGAAGTGGTCAGGGTGCTCACTCTGTAAACATCCTCAGCCTATGCAAAAGGAGGGCACAGGGATGGTGTGGGTGGGTAACCCGCCATCAGTTTAAGGGAGGAAAAGAGGCTGACTCCTCGCTGTTTGTTGTTGCTGCTCTTACTGTCTTTTGCAGTCAGAACTGTTGCCCTTTGCCCTGCTACCCTGCCTCGGAGCCAGCTGGTTACAGACTGAAACCTCCACAAACTGTGAGCTAAACAGATCTTTTCTTTCTTGATTTTGGGTGTTGGGTATTTTGTCCCAGTAATGAGAGAAAAGTAACCAAGAAAATCAACTACGGACTTTTATAGTAGTCATAAATGCTATGATATAAAATGATTATGCTCAAATTTAAATAATAATTTTTACATTACATTTCTGTATGTTCTACATATTTTTGTGAAAATATGAATCATTTATATGAAAAATAACATTTGGTTTAGCAGAAGCAAATATCTGTTTTTATGCATGTGTATAATATACATAAAGACACAAGCACACCTTATTGAAATGGATTTAGTATTATAAAATAGAATTACAAAAGAAAATAAAATTACATGTGCAGTTTAAAATGTTTTTGTACTTGTAGTAAAACTATAAACATCAAAAATGGAGATAATTTTACTTAGCAATTTAGCTTATGACGGAAATACCTTTAAATTAAATTTTATTCATTTCAACAGTCATGGTCATACTGAATTAAATGTTTTCCTTTATTTAAAGAACACAAAATAGCTTTGTTCCACAGCACACCCAGGGGGAATCTGGTGGATGTTTTGGTACTGACACATTGATTTCCTAGTTCTCATCCCAGCTCCTGACTGTCAGTGCTAAACTGTGTTGCATAACAACCTTTGCACCAGGAAGGAGAGGCTGGAGAGGGGCTGCCTTTGCAATGCAGGAACAAAGTGCTTCCAGGTCACTGTCTTTCATTTTACTACAGTAATGACCGCCAATGGCAATGGACGTCCTCTCAAATTAAGAACCTAATTAGGGACATCGTTGACTGCTGAGTTAGCTTGTGATATTTTAAATGTTAAACTAGTATCTGGAAGCCTAAATTATGTGACTTTGTTTTCATTCTTAAATATAAAAATCTTCATCAGTTAAAGGTCAGTATCACAGCTTCAATATTTTCTAACACCTGTCTCATGCATGTACAGAGTCACTCTATTTCCAAAATGCAGGTCTACACAGCACAGTTGCTGCATGAAATCATGAAGAAATGCTTAAAATACAGTGCTTATCTGAAATCCGAGAAGCTTTTCACTGGGCTTAATGTGCCTCTGAAATTCACATTCTATGGGTTATGTCACTTTGATTCCATCTTCATAAAAAACATAGAACATGTTCCCAATTCCCAGACCTTAGAAAGTGAAACACATTCAAAAGTGCAAGATAAAATTATCAGAAAGCTTGAAAGCAAAGACCAAGAATCCCTTATAGCTCTAGCAGGAGATCAAATTGTAAAGTTTATGATGCTACTGAAGCCATCTCTATGGAAATCACACTGCAATCCCAAGCCAATTTGTGTTCCTATGCAAACATTCAGATTTATTCTTACTAATCTTAATTTAGTGGATTCTTTAACTTACTAAATGTCTCATATATTTTAAACAACTATGAAGAGAACTACAAACTCTTTAATAAATAGATTATTTTGATTCCTTACCCACATAATTTAGTTGTGAAGAAATAAAAGTAATTGCCAAGAATTAATTTTATTGTGATATTTTTAAAGTTCTCTGATTAAAATAAAATTTTATTTTTTGTGGGAATTTACATAATGGCTTTTAGGAGATCAGCAGATTTTAAGAATATATATTTTCACAAACTATATATTGATGATATGATGCTACATAGAAAACTTGCGTTAGTTTTATATAAGCATTTTTGAAGTTGTAGTTCTATAGTTAAAAATAATATAGTTAAGGTAGTAGAAAAACATCAGGGTAACAATTTAAATCATATTCTTAGTTCTTTCCCATGACAGCTCTGGGTGTGTGGCATCTCATAAATTCACTGCCCTGCAGAGAACATGGCTGGTGTGAAGGCATGAGCTTGGGTGTTCCCAGGTATGTTCACACCCCTTCTTCTGTCTCCCCATTCTTTGCTCTTTCTAAACGCTCTCAGCCCTTCCCAACACTGCAAAGTCTTCTTCCTCTGACCTGAACCTGCATAGCTTCTTTTTCCAGTTGTACTGATCTGAGCGGTAATCAACTTTATTCTGCCTAATTTCATCCTCCATTATTCAGTGTAGCACTTGCTCTTAAGGACAAGAAATACAACTGCAATCTCATAATGAGAAAAGCCAGTGACTGCTCCTTAAAATGTTGAACTAATAAAAATATCTGTAAGGAGAACACAGTTAAATACAAATTAAAGTTTGTTTCCAGTTTGGGGATCAATCCCGGCCCCTTGAACATGATCTAAGCATGTGTTCTATTACTGTACTACACCTCTAACACAGTGGATATTCATTTTTAAAAATAAGAGAAGACAATTGAAGATGGGTATGGAGGAAAAGAGATGATAGAAGCTTCTCTGGACATTTATGGAGAATTCAAAGTGAAATCTTCCATAGTGTGTATTCTTAGTAAGTTAATTAGCATTTTAACATTTTCAGTTTTAATTTATAATATCTTAATACTGATAGACATAATCAACACAAGCAAAAGTTATTTGAGCTCCAGTAATATTTCCAGGTATACAGGGTTTGAACCTCCAGCCTGGTAACCACGTAGGCTTCAGGCACACCTGCTTGAGGTGGTGCCCTGCACTGTGTCATCTCATGTCTGATGCCCCAGCCCGTGTCTGCCATCTCTCAAGGTTAGGCCTGAGCGGACTGCTTTTCTGATTTTCATCCCTGTTGAAGACAGACAGGTGTGCTTTGTCTTTTCCGGGTTAATTTAATGGAGTAGACTGGCTTTAGAAGGGAATCCATAATTGTTTGTTCCTTATGCATTCTCTTTGCTTTGCTTTCCTCCTCTGCAGGAGCAGCATATAAGACTTACTTGCAGTCTTCCTAGAGGAAAGTATTTCCCAGAGGATTTTCTAATCAATGCTGCGCCTTTAACACATAATGGACTGGGAAAAATGGGTGTGGGCATCTTGTTGTCCCCACCCTCAGGAGAGAGACGGGTGCTCAAGAACAGTAGCTGCCATGTTAATAGAATTGCATCGTTTATTATACAAGGTATATATTTTATATGATTTGTATCAATAATAAAGTTTGAGATGTATGTTTTTAACAATCATGAAAACAGATTTTAGACATTTTCCTTCCTCTGACTTAAATTGTCCTTAGTATTTACAATGTATCACTAGCAAGTTATAATTTTATGATGTTAGTAATCAAAGGTACTTGAACGGTTTTGGTGTTACATAGTTTCATTGGTTGATGTTAGCCTCTTTATTTTCACTGGATATACAGAAAACTAAAGAACAACATAAGTAAAAATAGGCAATCTACATTGCTCTTCTCACCTCAAGTAACCTAGCAAGGACAAATTTTCAGTTCATGAATGGTCCCACTTTAATATTCTGTGTTTGCAACTAAAATGTAATAATGCAAAGAATAAAATTAATAAGGTTATTATACTATGTTCAACTAAAGGAAGACTTGTTTAAGGATTCAATTCCTATCACTACAAAAGAAATCTAGAAAAGGAGCACCACTTGACTACAAAGTATATTGGGCCAGAATGGCAATATTTAGATACATTAGTAAGTGTAGTAATATAATTAATGATGTTATTATTTGAGTATTAGTGGAAGATGAGTCTTCACAGGATAAAATGGTTTAAAGTTCTTTTATTTAGGGTTTCTTCCATATATACACTTACTAAATTAGACTTAATAACACAGCTGATCTATTTCTCCATTAAGTAAACATCAAGAAATATGTTATTAAATTATAGTGTTAAATTATATTTGATTATAACCTTTAAAATCATTGCAAAAGAAAATCAATAGTATTGAAGATATAAATATATATTTAAGAAAATATCCAGTGGCTTACTTGCAAGTAGAAATATTTTAGCTTGTGAAACTATGCTTTAACCTAATGAAGTTTCTTTCAAAGTTGAAATATTTTAGGGCAATTATTAGATCTTATATATCTTTGAGTTGCAAACTCTCCAGTGTTTGACATTTACCGGATCTTTGCCACGTGTGTCACCAAGTGAGGCAGGAATTTCCTCTCTTCATATGCTCTTCCTACCTCCCCAGACACACAGTGAGTAGACACAGAGCAGCAGGTGCGCTGTCCAGAGCATACATACTGCGTGCTGGGTATGAAAATGCACTGAAAAGAAGTCAAGTGTGTTCGGATTCCAAACCCTCAGCTAGGTGCTATCCCCAGGCATTTTCAAAGGCTTTACAGTAAGTACCCATGCCTTTCTTCTTGAGATTTAAAAAAAAAAAAAAAGTGTTTTTCTGGGCATTTTAAAAATTAATTTCTTTTTATCATTTAGAAGTACAATAGCTAAGGAATTCAGTAGGCTCTTTCTCACCATCATTTCCACTCTCTGCTGTTAATGTTACAGAACCTGAGATTCTTCCTCGGGGTTGTCTCTGCTGGCTATGGCAGAAGGCAGACACACAGGGAAGACACACTGCCAGGATGGGAATAAAAGTGAATCACAGAGATCCGTGGTTCACGTGGTTATTACTGTCATTTTCAAACATGGTGGTAGAAATTGACTTTGGAAGATTTGATTAGCTAATTTTTCGTTATTCTTATGAAATAATTATATATATTGGGGACTTAGCTCAGTGGCATAAGTGCCTGCCTTGCAAGCATGCAGTCGTGAACTTGATCCCTGTTACTAAAAAAAAATAATAATTATACACACTATGAGGAGTCAGTGATTATTCAATTTTGTATATTATCTTTCATCATCATTCTTTTAGGATATGATTTGATTGTGAAGTCTTGTAGTATAATAAAAAGGAATTGACAAAAGTCCATGAATAAAAATAAAATATGTGGCCTTCTGGAGTCTATGTTTAAACTTTTTTCTTTGAAGAAACAACAACGTAAACTGATGAAAATTCTATATAAAAGATTTAAACATTTTTCCCAAGTATATTTCTTGTATGCATCTTAAAATTATCTAAAAAATATATATATACTAGCTGTCACATATTGTGTCAAGTAAAGTTATAAATAATAAGAGCATAATTGTTTAATAAAATACTTCTGAGTACTGTATACAATTCTAAAAATAAACTTCTGTGTCAGTAAAATTATTTCTTATAATGATTGTATCTCAGAATGATTTTGATCAGCCTGAAAGTATCCTGTACATTTGCGATGGACTTGAAGAATGTCTTTATACTCTCAGGATATCAGAGGTGACTGCAAACTTCGCTACCCCAGGTCCGCAAGGAGCGCGCCCCCTGCACTCTGCTCTGCCTGGGAAGCTCTGGCTGTGGGGAGGTGATTGACGCACCGCCTGCTTTCCAGTGTAAGCCGCAGAGGCGCACTGGAGGCGCTGGACCCCTGACTCCCTTGCACTGTACCTTCCACCACGCTGCTGTGATGAAATCCATTTAAAGACACTCAGAGAAATATTTATTTTATTGATCTCAAGAGGCACGGGAGTTTTAAGAGACGGGTCAAGTTCATTTCGACAGTGATCGAATTATCCGAGTAGAAGCAGTGCACGGAGCTCCATTAGAGCTCTGCGGGAAGCCAGAGTACGGAGGGCATGTGCAAGTCAGAGATGCTGAGAGAGCGGGAAGTGCCACCAGAGCCACCGAGGAGGGTGCTGTGGCTCTTCAGGGTGCCCGGGGGTGGGGTTAGGGGTAGGGGCTCCAGACCGCCCTCCAGCTGCCCCGTCCCCACCCGAGCAGCTCTGGTGGGCAAGATGAGCGCCTTCTCCCTAAGAATTTAATCAAAGCAGCAGCTCGGACAGGCTATCGCAGCACTGGGCATGCTTCTAAGCCTTGGTGACTAAATGAGGAAAACACTAGCCTCGGCCATAGCTGACACTGGCGCTTCTCACAGAGGCTTCCGAGTCCAGGGGTTCTGCAGCCGCCCTGGCCTTTGAGATCTACAGGCCATAGGACAGGCTAGCCACTCGCCTGCAGCCTGCTGGTCTGGAACTGCATTTGGAATGAGGCCTTACAGGTTTGTGATCCTCTCTCACAGAATTTACATTCCCTTGATAAGGCAATAGGTTTATAATCTCTCCTCCTCAGCCTTAATCGAGGATATTATGTAAATTATGTTAATTACAAGTATTTACATTTCTTTGACCTTATTTTGGGCTATTAGAAACATTTCAGTATAATTGTATTGTAAGGAAACTGAAACCAATAATGGGTCACTGTGAGAGAAAGTGAGAGTGTTAATGCTAGCAGATTTACATAAGAATATTATTATATAATCAAATGATATATTGAATCAACATATAATAAGATTAAGCTAAATGTCAAAATGAATCATAAACAACAAATTGAATAAAAATCAAGCAAAATAGTACAGTATCAAAAATAATTGAGTTTAGTACCTTCTTCTCTCCATAATGTTAGCTACTGAAGCATGTTAAAAAAGAAAAAAGAAGGAAAACAAAATGAGTAAAATGAACTTTATATTAATAATATAGATAATTATTTAAAAGATCAAAATATACATGTAAATATACTGTCAGTGGAATTTAAAAAATTACTTTAAATTGACAAAGTACTAAAATGTTTGCCACTCCTATAAGGCACTCCATACATTTCTAGAGATAGTTATTCTTTAATAATTGCATTAACCAAAACATTACCTGCAACAGTGAAGAGAACAGAATATTTTATGTATCAAAAGATATTTTCAAAATAAGCACTGTTAAACCAGTTGACAGTTTAATTAAGTTACCAAAGGAACTCATAAAAATATTTTAAAATTTTCAGTAATCACTGTCCGTAATATGAGATATTTCTGAACAAGATGAGGTTTTAGAAATATACTTTCCTAAACACACACAGTGTCTATTTTTAAATAATGTGTCTATTCACTGCTTGAAATCAGACAGAGTGAAAATACATTTAATATATCTTGTTTCCATGCATACTGAATTATTTCTGGAAGTCGCTATGTTATACATCATACATAGACAAAATCAGAAAAGACTCACAATGTTAAAGTCAAATAAAAAATAGCAGTTGAAAATATTGTGAAGAAAATATCCATTGCTTTCATAATTCAGAGTAACACAGAATCTGCGTATTTTCAAGGCTAAACAAAGTAGACCGAAGGAAGGTGAGGTAGTGGAACGTTTTGCTGGGTCTAATTCAGAGTACTCCCCTCTCACTTTCTAGAAGAGCTCTCCACCCCTAGGAACAGAGCGCATGGAGTCCTGCACTGCTTTCCTGAGGCCCAGGCCTAAGTCCTGCAGGTCGCCTCACTGCTCGCACCTGTTCAAAGAGTAACCAATCCTTGGGGAGCCCTGCTGGGCTTTTCCTGCTTCTCAGAATGGCTCACAGGAGCCTGGCACAGGGCGCTGCCCCACCCTGCACTGTGCCGGCTCCACTCAGCTTGACCTCCCAGGGGGGAGCAGCGCGGGGACCTGGGCACAGCGTGGCCATGGGGTCCGGGGTCTGGAGTGTGGCACTCCTTACGCAGGGATCGCGTGGGCCTCACCCCAGGTCAGACGCTGTGAAGGTGAAGCATCTCCATTTGCCAGTTAGTCCATGAAAAGGCGGCCTGGTTCTCAAAGAGAACCACAGACCCGGAGGAAAGGGGCCCTCGGAGCAGGTGACCACAGCCGCCAGGAAAGGCAGGCGCTGCACACAGGAATATTAGGTCCATGCGGAACAGACAGACAGACAGACTTGCTCCCTGGCCTGGGTTGGCGCAGGGAGGGTCAGCTGCCCGGAAATGAGGTTCAGATAGAAGAATCTAGCTCCAGGGCGCAGAAGGGGCTCAGAGAGCCTGGAAAACACAGAGCCACACTGTCCGTGCGACAGTCGGATAGTTTCTACAGTGCAGAGAACTGCATTCTCCTCTGTAGCTTTAGGAAGGGTTGATTCACGAGCAGACAGATAATTTCTCAAATCTGAAACAGCAGGTAACAAAGCACATCTGTCAGACAATGAGGTCAGAGCTACAATCCCAAGTTAAAAGGACACCCGTCTCTGTGCCACAGAGCTTATATTCCAGCTGAGGAGATTAGAATCCAAATCCCAGTAGGGAAAAAATGCAGTTACAAACTTAGTGGGCAAGCACGAGAGGGCCATCCCTCCTATCATTCCATAGTGATATGAGCACTCCTGTTGGGTGAACTGGACATGAGAGGCTGAAGCTGGGAAACAGTCCTTATTGACCAAGGTTCAAATAAAGTGGGAGAGGTTTGAGGGTGACTCTGGGAGAAATATAAAGATTCTGTTTCCAGGGGTCTGACAAGCTTCTGACTGCACGACATAGCCCTGCTGTTTGTTAGAACAGAGACAGGTTTTTAAGTCAGACCTCAGCTTATGGGTAAGAAGACTGGTTACACCCGCCCTCACTCCTATTGGAGAGTGCCCTCTGCACCAGCTGGCTGCTCACAGGCTCCTCCCTGAACTAACCCTGTATCTGAACCTAACTCAGTTGGCCCTTGAAGCGGTCGTCCCAGTGGTCTGTGGGATGCTGCCTGCCAGCTAACCAAGCTGGCTTGTGCCCCGTCTGCTCCTCCACGGGCGACTTCTTGCGTTTTTTTTTTCTGCCTTACAACATCACCTTGGCCATTCTAGCATCGCACGAGATGGAATTCAAGGACCAAATAGTGAACTTAGAACTCCATAAGCTAAAATCATACTGTTACAACATACAGCAGAAATGTTAGGATGTGACATGAAATTGGTACATTCACAATCATGGTTTGCTTTGCGAACACATTGCTGTCAGTGTTTTAAAAATGAAAGTAATAAATAAACAAAAATTCAATAATAAAATGATCAGAACTGAGCTACTCTGTTGAGGAGGAACTGTTTTTGGCTTTACTAGATTTTCAAGAAATTTACTTTCTACAAAGTAAACTCTAAAAAAGGTCTATCTTTGTTTTCCAAAAGGCTGAAATTGCTTTGGCATTTTCATGCAGCACAACATAAGTGCACAGGGACACATGTAAATGCTTGACATCACAAAGTGCACTGTAAACTGAATATATAAAACTAAACATCAGCACGGTTCCTGTAAAACAGTCACAGAAAAGAGCATTCAGCAGGTGGACCCAGAGGGACTCAGCCTCAGGATAACAGAGTCTCAAGCACAGGGCTTCCAAGAAAAATCCACAGGAGAGGTGGAGGAGAAGAGAGGCGGGAAGGATGAGGCCCTATAATGGCTCTGAATTAGTTTAGAACTTTAGATGGTGAATTTGATAATCTATGTGTGATTTTTAAAGGCTCAAAGGAAACAGCAATTTCTCAACTAAGAACATAATGAAAAAAAGCAATGAAAATAGGCTTCATGCCAATGAAATATTTTAAAAATAATTTCTTAAAATTCTTAGGGTCTAAGATTATTTTCCTAAGATTTATAAATTTTCAAAACTCATATGCTAATTATATTTGATATTTTTAGATTTTATATCAAGCTGGAAACATATTACTTATGATACTTAAAAGTATTGCCAATGTCTTGTGGTAATAATAAGAGCAATAGAAACTATATGACAATATTGATAAAGGACAAAACTCTAAATAAAATTTAAGCAAAAATTAACCAGAATATTAAAGATTTACCAGATAGACACGTTCCTGGAATGAAAGAATTACTTATTAAAAATGTAATGAAGAAATCAATTTATTACAACATACCAAAAGTGACTCATCAATGTAATTTAAATAAATGTAATCTACTAAGGTGAATCACATATTACTAAGTGTAATATAAATACTGTTTGTGAACCAACAAACTAAAAATAAAGGTATATGTATAAATTAATAAAATAGTGACACCTAAATAATAAATTTTGAGAACTAAAATATGGATGTGACCAATAATTGAAATTATGTTTTTGATAAGTGACCAATTCACTAAGCCAACAAAATGCTATTTGGTGAAAGTTAGAAGATAGAAGAATCTGAATATAAGATGAAATAAACCAAAAAGGGTTATATAAAGTTACTAAGATAGGCTAATTATGTAGCTAAATCTAAAATGAAATTCTAATATTTTTCTTATGTAAGAATTAGATGATGTGAGATACGATTTTGTTTACAATGGCCTGAAAGCATAACATATTGATACGGTTCTAAAATATAAAAATATAGCAAACTAAGTACTGTAGCATTTCCTAAAAGTATGATAATTGGAAAGCTCTATTATTATTAGGTTGACACACTGAATATCATAATACACAAAGTTTATTCAGACATTACTTAATTTAAAAATTACCAGATTATTTGTCTAGAATATATTCTATTTCATTTTATGAAGGAAGAATGTGAATTGAGCATTTCTAAAATTGTGAATTAACCATTTTTAAAAAGGTATCAAGAAAAACACCCGGAATTCAGCTGTGTTGTTGGATCTCTTTATCTTAGACATCTTTCCGATGTTTTGTTGCTTTTTGTAGAAAACAAATATGTGCAGAGATGCCTCTCTCTGGTAGGCCAGTTGAATGCACAATGGAAAAGTGTTGGCTCACATTCTTTTATCTGTTTTAACTTATTTTCCCTTTATTCACAGGCACAGTTTTAATAACTATGTTCTCATAAGGATTTCTGCTTTATTTTTTTATTTATTTATTTATTTATTTATTTATTTATTTATTTTTGTCTTCTCAGTCTTCGTATTTTGCCTTTGCTGTTATTAGTCAGGTGTGGGCAGTGCACTGTGCCTAGTTCATCACAGGGCATCTGTGCGTGTGCATAACCCACCTTCAGTGTTTTTTATGTTGTCCCCATCCTCCCTGTCAACCCTTCTGTCCCTCCATTTGCATTTTTTTCTTCAACTCTTTTTAAAAATTCCTTTATCCTTCCTTCTTAATCCTCCACTCATCTCCTGTTCCCCTTTTGTTTGAAAGTTTTCCTATTTATTAGTTTAGCCATATGTTGGTTAATTGATTGTGTCACTTGAGTGAGAGAAGCTCAACTAAACTGGTTTAGCAGTGCCCACACTAGGGTGTAGAAGACTTGATGTAGGGTGGCGGACCTGCTTCCATTCTTCAGAGGACCTCCAGTGCTCATCTCCACCTTGGACATTCCCTCCTGGCTTCCAACGTGGCTCCTTCCACCTTCTGTCCTCAACTCTTCATTCTTCCCTCGCAAACTGGTGGGTCTCCTGATAAGGACCTGCAGGAAGACTGCAGTGAGCTCCAGAACTTGGACTGGAGGCTTTGGTCTTTGTGTGCAGACGCCTTCTACACGCTTCCTCATCTAACTCTATGGTGAGCACCAGAATCTGATCTTGTAAATTATCATAAGTTTGCATATCTTGTTTCTCTAGTAGACACTGACAGATTCAAGCCACTATAAATAGTAGGGTTCCACAAACATCGCTGATTCCACCAGCCATCCAGATGGCTGTGTCCTGTGCATGTCTCTGTGTATGTTCATGTGTTTACCATGATATCCAGTCTTCACCTTACTTATTTCTATCAGTACACATTCCTGCCCGGAGTGTGAGATTCTTTAGGCAACTTCTCTGGATTGGTTTCTGAAAGCTAACTCCAGCAATCTGTGCAATTATTCATCCCATTTCATCCATAGTTACCTATTATTTTGTATGTGTATGTGCTTGCATATGTGTATGCATTAATATGATGTGTTAATACACATGTATGTATTAATATGAATATGTATTTGTTAATATGTAAATTAGTGTATTTGTGATATTGAATATATTTGTAAATATTTCAAGACAAATATCTTCTTTCACTTACGTCCTTAACTCATTATTTCTATAAGTGTACTAAAACTGTAATGTATTATAGATTATTTATATATAATATAAATATACCACCTTTATATATATATATATATATATATATATATATATATTTCTTTTGTCACATTTTAATAGGTGGGTATATGTGTAATACAATGGTTTTGTCATATCATGTTAATTTGTTCTCCATACAATATAAAAAGCTATCAAATATAAACAAACATAACATGGATACACTATGTATCCTTAAAATGCACATTGAGCTTCTTTGATTAACCTTACAACATATAAGCTCACATTGTAAGCCCCAAATATTTTTGAATCTCAAATTTATCCTTCCAGTTTTTTCCTACCCTTTATTTTTTATCATTAATTTGTCTCAATGGAACCAAAAGTTTTGATAAAGTAATTTTTCTTCCAGACGGAATCCTGTGAAACACCTAACATGCTCTGAATATATTATAAAAAGTCTGTTCAGATTTCTCTTATTCATATAAACAATAAAATCTACACAGTTACAGACCTCATATACTTCATTTATTACATAACTGAAATATAAAATTATTTGCAACCATTATATACAGTGTTAATCTGCTATTCCTCAATGGAATGGATGATTGAGAGCAATAACTAAGCCTTTTATTAATGCCTTTCATCTAGTCACCATACTTTATGTATCTGGAGCTTATGACTAATTAAAAGTGATGGATTCCACATTGAATTTCTTGTCTCTGTGAGCAAACACATTTGTAGCGCTTAGTGATGTCACATGTGAGGCAGCAACAGTGTAGTGAACTCCCTGTCACATACTATGGTGCCTACCTGTGAGCATCTACTTTCCATAGCTATTCGTGGGTAAACTGCCTGCCTTTCAACTGAGAGATATTTCTATTTGTCCTTTGCTTTGTCTGATAGCTTAAGTTGTGTACCACTGAAGCATATTTCTTCAAAATGTGAATTTACGTAAGGGAAATGTTTAAGCTCCACATCTTATTGACTGCTTCCCTTTGGGATTCAAGGAAAGGGTGTCATTATTTAAATGAAAAAGACCAACCTTAGGAGAAAATGCAGAAAAAATTTTAATGTGTTTGAAAAAGGCGTTTTCAGTGTTATCATAGTTGAGACATCTTTGAATGCACATCTGGAGAAGGAAACAAGATTGCCAAGGGCATCCCAGCCACACGCTGAATCCTGAGTCATTCCAAAGTGAACCTGTCGCTTTGAGCTCTGAAGGCAGCTACCCCTGTGCCTCTGCAGAACCCCCTAGGGTACACCAAGAGTTAACCCTCCCCTAGAACTCAGGCTGCATCAGGAGAAGATCAGAAACTGGCCAGGAAACTGTGACCATAGTTTCCACAAAGTGATGAGTTAGAATGGTTAGATGCTTTGGGGAGGTTTAAAAGGTTTAAAAGGTGAGAGTGTGTTAGGAAATGGAGCTCAGAGAGAACAGGACCCGTAAGAACTCATAGTAGAAGGCACTGTGGGACATAGCCAGGATTGTGGTAACGTGGATTCATGTGGAGCCGGGCTCCAGAAGAGGCAGAGAGTAGTCTATGCAGATCAAGAGAAGATGAGAAAGCACCTTTCTGACTGCTGCTATCAGTGAGTTTTGATTTTTATAAACAATTTTGAGAACCACAATTTCTTCTCACCAGGTTAGAAGGGAAAACTAAACCATGAGGAAACGGTCCAGTCTGTTTTCTCTTGCTGCAGCAGAACACAGCAGAATGAGTGATTTACAAAGAAGGATAATTTGTTTCTCACACTTCTGGAGCCTGGAAAGTTCCTTGTCAGGCAGGGGACCCTGGTAAGGGTCACCTATAGAGGAGGGTCCCTGCTGACAGCCAGCACAGAGCCGGCCTCAGGCTCACCGACTACAGCCAACTGCACCCTGGCAGCAGCACTGACATGCTGCACTCTTCTGGAGGGTGCATCTCCCAACACATGATCTTGCATTCTGGAAGGTTTGGTCCCCAAGGAAAAGCACTGGACCCCAGGGGCTGGAAAGAAAGGGGTCAGGCAGACAGACCCAGGAGTCCACAGAGGACCACTTACTTCTAATGACAGCATGGCCTGGGATTGACAGGAAGGCAAGACCCCTACTGTGGGGTGAGCAGCTGGGCGCAAGCAATGGACAGGACAAGGAGGGTGCATGTCAGGTGAGCTAGATGCAGCATACTTGAAGCTCATAGCAGAGTGAGGCACGTTCTAATTGCCAGGGTCTGTTTGTAAAGAAGCCCTTAGCACTCTAATGAGCTCGTGTTGCAGGGTCAAAGAACCCAGGCCCTCAGCAGCCCCAGGAAATGTGATGATTCTGGAGGAAATTGGAGCTTACAGCTGAAGCCTCCTGCCTCAGGATTCCATGGAGAGTGCCTTTAATTACTGCTCACTCTTGAAAATAATATGCGACCAGAAATATGATGTACAAACACCTTTTCCAAAAAAGTATCTTTCTCACATGCATCCTACCAGAATAAACAAGAAAGGAAAAGTATCAGATACAATAAAACTAAAATCTTAAGTACTTGAAGCATCTTCCAAACATGAGGAAGAAATATATAAATATGAGATATCAAAACAGAATTAAGCTCTTTTCATAGTGGTAGTAAGAACAGCTAATACACACAGTAAAGAAAGAAACAGCCAGTGGCTGAACCAGTTAACATAAGGGAAGCAGTTCCTAAATACATTGAACTTTAAAGTACTTTGACATTTGATGTAAATGTAAAACAATTTGTTTCCCTTGAATAATCCTATATTTAGATTAAAGTGTTACTTTATCCATTTAAATGGTTTATCCATTTTAATAAGTTAAAAATTAAAGTTGCTAATCATTGACCAAGAACAATACCAATGATGATAATTAGAAGAAACATTTATTGAACCCTCATTCTGTGGCAGACACTGTGAAGTAGGAGAACATGAGAGACACCAAAAGTTCATTTCTGTAAATGTCTGCAAGTCCGTGAACTTCTGTAATGGCTTAGTCTAAAAGCAAAACCCAGGAAGGGAGCGTGTGTTCATCTGAGATGGCAATCAAGAAAAGTGAAGTCAGCTAACATTCTTAAAGCAGTGGATAACAGAGCAACCATTCACTCAAGCACTACACAAATCATTTTCAGATTAGATTGTGAAGTCAAACTGTGCTGGACAGCATGGTACTGATCACATGTGCATGTGTATGTGCATGTGTGCACATGTGCTTCTGTGTGTGTGTGTACAGATTTGCATTATCTATGTAATACATTTGTGTGTGCATGTGTGCACATGTGCTTCTCTGTGTGTGTACAGATTTGCATTGTCTATGTATGTACATTTGTATGTGTATACGTGCATGTGTACGTATATTTGCATTGCATATCTGTTTGTATGTGTTTATGTGTGTATGTATATTTGTATTCCATGAGTATGTGTATTTGTATGTATATATATATATATATATATATATATATATATATATATATCTTCATTGCATGGGTACTTGTATTATGTGTATATGTGCATGTGTATGTATATTTATATTGTGTGTATGTATTTTTGTGTGCATATTTGCATTGCATATATATGTGTATTTGTAGGTGTATGTGTTTTTATATTGTACATGTATGTGTATATATGCATGTATATGTATATTTGTGTGTATGTTTGTGTCTATGTATTTATGCACATTTGTGTGTGCATTTGTATGCTGGAATGGAGAAATATGTGTTCACAGAGCCACAAACCATGGAAGGCTTTGGGGCTGGGGATTTAGCTCAGTGGCATAAGTGCCTGCCTGGGAAGCATGAGGTCATGAGTTCATCACCAGTACTGCAAAAAAAAAAAAAAAAAAAGCATAGAAAATTAAAAAAAAAAAAAATGAAAGGCTCCTTAGTAGGTTAACTTCTATGTACTTTCATAATAGATTCTTTCCCATGTCAGCTTTGCTCCAATTTAAGGTGTGCTATTAATAAATATAAGCAGCCTAAGGCATACTTTTAGCCCCTGCTTATTTTAATAAATTTTGTGTTATAAAAGGCAATTTTTGAATGCACAAATTTTCTTTTCAGGAGTTCAAGTGAGTGATGAACTAACAGCATCTTTTGGGAAATTCTATTATGCTCAAGTTGATTCAAAAGACAAATAAAAATAAAAAAAGACGATTCAGTCTCACATTGAAGGCTCACATTAATTGTGTCCCAGCAGCACGATGTAATGAGTTTCCCCAGTATGTGTTCCACCTTCAGATTATGCTGTAAATGTGCAGGACAATCAGCCTTATAAACTGTGCTGGCAATAGGAAGATGACTTACTTATACTCAGGTAAGAAAGAAGTTCTCAAATGCCTGCTTGATGAATTAAACCTGATACAATGAAAACAATATCCATTTTTATATCTCCTGGATCAACACTAAATAATCAGTCTGAAGAAAGTCAGTTTTGCCTTTGCAGATACATAGCATGTATGTCTTTCCTAGTTTGGCTTCTCCATGCCTGCAGTTCAAGGGCTCCGTCAACCTGGTCCTACACAAGAATCCATTTTCTCCTGAGACTGCAGATTTCAGGTCAATCTTCCTATGGCCGCACTGCGGGACAGGCACAAAGTTAAGTCAGTGCCTGGTGCAGCTAGGCTGTTGCTGAGCTCAGCATGCTCTTAGTTCTCCTCCACTGAAGCGCACTGCAGCCCCTCTTCCACCACCAGGAGAAGCCCTGCTGTGCAGCTTGTCTGGAGTTTTGTGTCTGCAGACCTAACACACTGGGCCCGTTATGCTGGAAATTCTTATTCAAGTATATATTTGCCTGACTTTTCCCCTTGCACTGAACTATTTTGAATCTTTCTGAGTGTGTAACATCGATTTAGTCAGTAATATATTGTTTTTCCCTAAGATATGGAAACACAGGTGTGCAAAACCAATGTTCCCTGGAGACAAAGTTTCCTGATAATGAAAATACTTATTCACTTTGCAAATTTTGTGAATGTCTCTTTTTCTAAAGGTCATTTAATAAAGTTAAGCCTGGCATAATATCAATACTGTAATAATATTCATATATTTTACAAGGTGGAAAGCTTCATGAACATCTAAATTACATAAATCAAATTATAGCCATTGTAAAGAATATACATTAAATTAAATCAGTTTGTAATAGAAGTACAGAAGGAATGAAATAGATAAATTTTTATAATCTTAAAATTACAATGAAATATTCTGAAGACTATATGTGCTTTCTAAATAGTTTGTGAATGTATGATAATTCATTGTTTCTATAATGTGTGTGATTTCTGTCTCCCAAGTAATACACCCAATCAAGTCTAACAGGCAATGGCAAAATGATTTTCAAAGGGTGAGGAAACAACACTAGCAATCTGTTACAATTTCTGCTGTTCCAAACCTCATCAAGTCTTTTACTGTACAGCTTTTTACTGTCATGGCGCACAGAAAATAACACATTTTCCTGTGATTTGAAGATATGTTTACTTATTAACTATGATGAAAGTCTTCATATAATATGCACGGCAACCTCAGTCTTCCTCATCTCTGAAATAGTTTTGGAAACTACAGTTTGCTTTGGGTTAGTTCCCTCCCTCTCTCTTCTCTTCCTCCCTCTTTTTTTCTGTCCTTCTTATCCAGTGGTAGTACGTCATGGCCGGTAATTTGTGTTGAAAACACCCTTAGGGCAACTTTTCATGATCATAACTCCTTGCCAGCGGTAGTGCACACTTGTAGTTCCAGCCACTTGGGAGTCTAAGGCGGAAATATTTCTTAACCCAGGAGTTTGAGGCCAACAGGGCAACACAGTGAGATCACAGGTCAAAGGCAAGCGAACCAGTAAATGAGCTATGATTTACGTTGGTCAAGCTGTTTTTTATGCTGTTTTATTTTACCTAATGGAAGATAAATTCCATTCTGGTATTAGTATTAGTACAGTAATGGCATAATTAGTACAGTGATAACCTTACATAATATACAATACATAAAAATACATAAAGAATCTGTAGTTGAATAATTTAAAAAAAAACATTTTTCCTTTTAGTATAAATCAGTCTTCTAAATCCAACTTATATTTAGAAACATATTTTGTCACTCTATGATGACCTATCTGAGGTGAAAATATAAATGTTATTCATTAATAATTTAGTCTGAATTATGAAGTCATGACAACACGAATGTTCCAAACATTTATCATTCCTTATTCTAGAGTTGTGTCTCAGCATGTGTATCAGACTAAAAAGTGATCAATTTAAGGGAAGTTGGGTTATATTTTGTATACAATTTACAGCATGATGGGAAACATCTTTTAAGAAATTTTATGAACAATATGAAAAACATACACATAGTTGAAAAGCAAGAAGGCAGAATAACAAATTATCTGAGCATTCTGGCTATGTATGCTCTTGTTTCTGCCCTTATCAGAAGTCAGATGTCCAGGAAATAGCAGCACGAGGATGCAGAGCTGTGTACTGTGAGCTCTCCATACACACTGGATAAAGATGTGTGGCACAGATTAGATTTCACAGAATTGTGAAATTCACCTCACTTTAGCCTCTCACTCAGATCCAGGGCATTCCAAAGACACTTTTGTTTCATTAACTTTTCACATATTTGTGCTAATATCTGGCTAAATTTCTTTATCAGAAGAATTCTAAGAAAATTAAGATGAGTCTGCTTTTAAAATTAAGCACAGAAGTACCTCTGGCATCATTTTAACGGAGTATCTCTGGATCATTTTAACATTTTCTCCTCAACACCACTAATAAAATAGTGGTAGCATACAGTACAAGTATTATAGAGATTTCTATTTACAAACAGAAAAATTTTATTGCATTCTAAAATGTTTATTAGAAAAATTGGTTGACAAAATAAAAAAATCTGAAAGAGTTTATAGACATTAACTACTATCAACATTTTAGTATACACTATGTTCAGTATTACTATTTGATCCAATGATGGGAACATAGTGCATATGATTTTTATGCAATAAAATATTATATAAATCTTTAAATATAAATAAATATAAGCCTGTTACATTACTTTTACTAATGACAATGTATTCCAGGCACATCTCCACACATTTACTCAAATAATTCTTTTATGAATTATGAATAGATTTTTTTATTAGCATACACAAATATTGCTGTTTGCTCATGCTTTTGTGTTTTGATTTTTTAAGAATTCATATAGAGATTTTATAATTAATGCTGTCACTATATATGTTTATTTAATCTGTGTAAAAGATATAAAGAAAATGTTATCCTTACTTGCCAGAAAATAAATTACTAAAATTGGCATTTATTAATATAAAATGAGGTAGGATAGTGCACTTAAATTATATAATTCTTCACAAAGAAAATTTAGATAATAAATCAAAATAATAAAGCGTTTAGTCTTGTGGTACAGGCAACAGAGAAGCTCCATGGCTTATAACTACTATAAACCTGTTAATTTAGTGACTTTTAGAGTACATAGCATCTAAATAGTGCTATCTAATATTACAAGCTCTGCTGTGGTACAAGAAAAGCAGCATGTTAGGAAGAGACCTCACTGATGACAAGAGAAAGTGCATCATGTCTAAAATATAGGCTTCGGATATGACGGTCACAAGGCGGATAATGTTAGCGTGTTCTGGGTCAACAAATGAAAAGATTTATGGAGCAAGTTACTTCATGGATGTGATAATACCATTGGCCAATCAAGATGCATAAATATTAGAATTTATCCTGATTAATAAAAAGCTCATAAAATAATAAATGCTTATCAAGCATGGTTAGCCATGACATGAGTCTAATTATTTAAGCACTTTTTACTTCATAAGAAGTTTATTACTACATATGGGTGACAAGTATTGAATAGCTTTTGGATTTTCAAAAAGAAACAGGGACTGTTTACTGATTTATAATTTATACAGCAACTCAGTTGAATAATGTTCAGTGAATATTAAATAAAAATTAGCCTTTTAAAGTCATTTTACCAAAGATACCTGTCTTCATTAGTGATATTTGACGGTAGCACTGATGAGCTCTAATGTCAAGACTGAAATCCCGTCCTGGCTGCAAGGTCTGTTCCTCACCCTTAATGACAGGTGCTTTTCTCTACTTTTCATTGTAACTATTTCCATAATTGCTAAGTGTAAACAGAACAATTGTTATGGTTTCCTGACTTACCATGCTAACCTCACATTGGCTGAGCGCACAGATAATTAGTAATTGACCACAGGTTTATCTACTGATTTTACCTTCTCAGACTCCTTGCCCATTGGTAAGATCTGCATGACATAATCACAAGGGCCTGAATTTGAAGACCAGATCCATAAACAACAACAACAAAACAAACAAGCAAACAAACAAACACCCCCCCCCAAAAGTCCTTAAACCAATGTAACTTCTCTTCTGAAGTAAGCATTTCTGCTTTATTTAAACATAGAGAGCAAGTGAGGCCTAGTGAGGTCATTTAACTGGCTTGTACCGCCAGAACCTGTCCTGCTGTCCAAGGTGCTTTTGTCCTATATAAATTACCTGCATACTCAAAAACACCATGTCTTAACCTACTTTAAGACCTCTGTGATACTAAAATGAGCAAATACAGTGGCTCATAAACCTTTACAATGCTGGCTAAGAACAGCTACATTTCCTATATTTGTACCTCCCTCTTGTGAATCGCACTTACCATAGTTTCACAATAATCACTAGTTTACATGAGCATTAAGTTTTTATAGTCCACTTTGCAGCGATCCGTAAGATTTAACTCATCTCAAATATTAACCCTAGGAAGTGAAAATTTCCTGGGGTAAAGAAAATGATTGCCCGCTGTCCCAAGGCCAGGACAAGGGGAGGCAGGCAGAGCATGTTGCACCCAGGCCGGCCGCAGGAGAGGCCCTGCGAGAGCGTGACCTGCGTGGAGAGGAGCGCGGCCACGGAGTCAACGGTCCAGGTCGCCGCGGACAAGCATCATTCACTGAGGGGTGCCAGAGTGACTGGGCACCACTTACATAAAATAATTTTTAAGCTTAAAAAGTAAAATAATGCCTTCATTTAAGGAATTTAAAATTAAATTTTCATACCAGTGACGAAATTTAAATTTTCATGACCAGTGACAAAAAATGGAGCACTAATTTCAGCAATGTAGTTGTCTGCTATCAGTTCATAAAAGTTAATTATAAAATACTGCGATAGACTAACTTCTCCAACTACAATGCTGCTAAATAAAAGACCTATATGTACCTTATCGGGTATTTATTATGACTTATAGGTGACAGTAATCGGTATGCTGCACCCCGACAACACATTCCGGTCACATTCCTTCCTGAATTCCAGCGGAGACCACGCAGTCCGCGCTCAGGGCGCAATGCACACGGGACCTTAGAAGCTTTCCGTGGCAGCCTCTGCTTGACCCGCTTTTCCCTGCCTTCATTCTGCAGATGAGGCGCTGTCCTCTGAGAATCCATGGCCCCAGAAGCAAGAAACGTGTCACCCTCCGCGGTGTCCCTGGCGTTTCCCCCAGTGCCCGCTCCACCCCAGCGTCATCTCCTCTGTGCCTTCCCCCTGCGCCCAGGACCCCTTTCTCCAGGGCTTTGGGTCTAGGTCCTCCCCATCTATGCCTCCAGGAACCCTTAACCATCAAACTCTCTCCTACACGCAGCGAAGAGTGTGCAATTGCGATGCACGTGTTCATGCTTCCACTTGTCACGTGAGGAGACTTTGGGTGGGGTTTGTAGACAGTCCGGGCCACCAGGATTCAAAGCCCCCTTTCAGATTCAGGGGGAGGTGACACACACACTTCCCAGGGGCAGCGTGAGTCCTTTTGTGCACTGAATTACACTGCGGGGAACCGACTGCAAGAAAAACTGATCATACCAGATCAGTGCTCCACCGTGGAGAAAAGAGCTGGAGGGTTACTGTGGAGCTGTCGCTAACAGAGCGTGCATTGCCATTTTTACTGCAAAACTTGTAACCCTCCCCGCTGTTACACTGCAGACATATGACTCAGGGCTCCTCTCTATGCTTCCAAAAGCTAACGGAAGAAAGTGCACTGCGGGACAATTTTCAAAATGTAAGACTATAGCTTGAGAAAACTGAACAGGGAACTGAAGTGTAGCGCTTGCTTTGTGTCTACAGCACAGCAAATGCCTGCAGGAGAATTCATTAAAAATATCTTAATAAGGCACACTCAAGAAAGTATGTATATTCCTGATGAACTTTCATTTTTATTTATTTATTATTGATTTAGGTACTGTAATGTCAACCCAGGGCCTTGCACTGACCTATTTCTTCAGCCCATTTTAATTTTTACTTTGAGATGACAGGGTCTTGCTAAGTTGCTAAATTGTCCAGCTATGCTAGAGCTTGTGATCTGCCTGCCTCAGCCTTCCAGAGTGCTGGGATTATAGATGTGCATGATCATGACTAATTGAATCAGTTGTTTTTCAAATGTAGTGAGAAATGATATTTCATACTTGTTTACATATTATAGATGTCTTACACATGATCATATGTCCGTAATTATCAAGTCTTCCAGATTATCTTAAATGCTAAACTTTCTACCTTGAAATAACTAGTTTCACAAAATAAGTCTGAGCCAAAGAACTATGTATGTCTAGTGTGTAGATAAATCTCCGTGTAAAAACTGTAAACAGAGGCTATGGGATGTCCCAAATCACAGAGTTGTTAGTTTTTCACAATCCTTGTCTTTCTGCAAAATTCATGCTTTCCTCTCCCAGTGGTCAGTTCTTGGAGATATATTGTATCCTCCACACTTTCAGTCTCTGCTCTCCTGTACTTCCTGTTGTTCTTCTCAGTTTGTTTACTTAACATTGTTTTGATTTTCATCATGTACATGACTTTCTAAAACTGGTCCTTTTAACCTCAGTGACTTGAGAAACACACAGGACAGAAAATGAGCAAACCTAAGGCTGTTTACTTAAATCAGAAGCAAAGTTTGCTATTGCTAACTTCAGAACTGTGTCCGCATATCCAGGCAGAGTGGATCATAAGGTGAATTAGGGATACCTGAGACCTCAGGATTACTCCTGAGGAGCTTCCACTCCTTGTGCTGGGGAAGATTGCAGAGTGATAACACCAAGTGCCATCTATACATGGTGCCTGCAGCCCGAAAAGCTACCCCCACAATCTTTCACTTCTACCATGTCTCCCTTGTAGGGTCACTCTGAAAGTTACCTAAACATGATGGTAAGGTTTTCATTGCGGCCCCTAAAATGTTATGTGGGGTTCTAGCAGTGTGCTCCTCACAGGCACTCTACAAAGTATTTAAAATACATTGTTTTACCTTTAAGAGTTTAAAACAATAAATACAGTCAATTAAAATGAAAACATGATTTTCAGACACTTTCTATTTGTCAAACTAATTTTATATGTAGGTATATGATTAAAATTTTATTAAACTTTTCTTTAATAATTTTTTCTAGATTTAATAAATAATAGATTTACAAATAATAAATTTTTACTGGATTTTACATGTAGGATAGTTGTATACCTCACTAGTAAAATAAATTATGGTTAGATATTTTTACTGTCACTAGAAAATATTTAAAAAATGATGAATATATAAAATCTGAAAAGAATTGAAATTAAAATGTTTCACAAACCTCATTATAAAACACAAAGCTGATTTTTTTTATTATTTCCTAAAATGAATCTTTAAAACAAAAAAAAAAAATTGCAAGTTCATAGAAATATTAGGGGTGATTAACAGATACAGTGAATGCTTAATTAAAAAAAAAATTGCAGTAAAGGTGTGTTGCGATTATCTCTCTCAAATTCTCTCCGTGGCTTCAAACACGCTCAGCATGTCTGCCACTCCCGGGAGCAGCCCGCAAGTCCGCTTCCTGGCTGTGTTCAGCTGCACTGCCAGGTCTGCTCAGCGTCTTCACTCTCCCCGTAACTTTAGCTTTCATGGTCATTTCGACTTTGGGCAGAACGGAAGGGTGGCAATGTGGACCCAGCTAAGGACAGGACAGTGATTTTACCACCCCTCCCGCCTTTCTCCTGGAGGCACTAGAGGCAGCCATGTGCTTTTATCACATGGCACTCAGGAAAGACCCATCCAGGGTGGAGGGTTAGGTATGCTTGAGGAAAGGGGCATAATTCCAGAAAGAGTAGTGGCAATGCCTGTTTTACCACAGTAATATCTTTTAAACTAAAACACTGTATTTTTTTTTATCACATTTCGTACAAAAGTGGAATAAAAAGTTATGTTGGGTCTAGGCCATTAAATCAGATTTCCTTTTCTAACTCAAAACTTCTTTTACATGTTTACCTGTAATGATCCTTAGTCTAATCAGACAAAATATAGGTAACAATATGTTGAAGGTTGGGATCCGGGCAAAGTTGTCTGCACTGGACCTATCCATATCTATTTGCACTTGTTGATTTAGAGCAAATAAGAAGACTTCTGGGACAACTACTGGTTTAACCATGTTCAAAATCGAAGTGCAAAGCAACGGGCCTGACACACTAGATGTTTCCACAATGTCTGACAGTTTTAAAGCACACTGATTGAAGTATAGCAAATCAAACCGAAGAGTGGAGGGCAAGGGGAAGCGATCCAGTTCCAGCCCAGTACCCAGGAGTCAGTGGAAAAGCCGAAGAACAGTCCCTGTGTTTCCCCGCAGGGTGCAGCTATCCACAGATCAGTCCACCCTCAGCACCCAGCCCCTCCACACCAAGTTCCTGTGTCGTAGAGTAGCACTAAAGCTGTGGCCAAGAACCAAGCAGCACTGAGGTTTTTCTGGTAAGAATCAACTCTGTTAGGCCGGTGCCCCAACTGGGATTACACCGGAGGCTCAGGGAGGGAGGCTTCGTGGAGGAGCAGAGTGGAAGGACAGAGAGCGAGGGCTGTGGTCTTTACAGTGTGCAACACAGTGGCCAGCCCTTTTTGGAGCAGAGGTCACAGGAACTGTAACAGGAACTGAAATCAACTGGGAAATTGCAATAAACCTGAGCCACAGTAACCAACACAAGCTGAAATATACTGGCTGGGTCATTTTCTGCTACTGTAGAGCATGGCAGGGTGAACATAATTAATAGCAGTGCACATCACATCTCAGAGCAGCTGAAAGAGTGGATTGGAAAGCACCCATCCACAGGAGTGATAGAAGCAGAGAACCACAGGCATGCCAGGAACCCATTCTGATAATTTACAACACACGTGAGAAAGGAGGCATCGGTCCTTGCTTCCTATGTAGGTACAGTGTCATATGTAAATGTTTTAAACATTTAAAGAAACTGCATGGGTTTTCTTATAACACCAAGAGAAAATCAAACTTTATGAGTTTTCTACCATCCAACCAAGGACAGCCCTGGAGTGGGCCACCTTGTGGAGCAGGAGGCTTGGTGCTTGCTACTGGAAAGGGCTGCAGGACAGGTTCTAGCAACACAGCTGACCATGAAAGAAAGGTGTGGCCTTCCTACCTCTAACACAAAATGTTTGTGGAGGGCCTTCAATTTCCTTGGTATTTTTTGGAAGAAGAATTTTTCAAGGAATGAAAAGGCTTCCATGAGCAAATGGAAAGTGGAACCTGAAACATACTATGCACATTTGGAAAAATAAATCAAATCACTCCATTGCCACAGTGAAAATTTCACAAACTGTTTTAATGCCCTGTGCATTTTGCAGTTTTCTAGTCCAGGACTTTTGGAACATCTGGAAGATACTATCATAATCTAAAGAGCCATAAAGTTTAATACATATGGATCTTTCAAGCAGAATCTTTCGCAAACAGTGAAGAGATGTCCTCATCCACACCCGCCTCATTCTTCACGACACACGTGTACGCCCCGGTGTCTTCGTACCGCACGTTGCTGATGTGAACCTCACTGCCATTGGCTGGGAAGACAGGCAAAGGCAACTTGTAAAGGACACTTTCAGCTTTGGTCCTCTGCTTTCAGGTGACACAGTCAAGCAGCTGTCTGAGACTGTCCTTATTAGACTGCTGTTGTCCCTCCTTCCCTCCTTTGGAGGCAGGCATTCAAGCGTTCTGTGCACTGTGCCTGCATTCCCTGACCCAAGCCCACTGTAGTGTCTTCTCTGCCGCTCTCCACTTCCCACACCCACGGAAGAATTACACAGGGTTAACTAGAAGTTGTGTGTTCCTTTATTCAGAGTCCCTTTTTCCTGAGTTTCCTGAAAATTTAAATCATAAATATTGTTCATCCATGTACAAGACACTACCATAAGAAATGAAGTGAGCACCATCTTGCAAACATACCCTTGTCATTTGACAAGGGTGTTGCTGAGATAGCAGTACATATCTAGAAGTATGACAGGGGAGAGAGAGATCATACTGTTAATTGCCTTTCGGCCAGAAATTAAACTAAACTAAACTAAACTAAACTAAACTATGTGATGGCATGGAAATTGGAGGGACTGACATGAGGCCAAAGGGCCACAGTGGGAATTGCAATTGCACATCTTGATGAGATGATACTTTTACTGGAAAGCTCTGTGCGTTAATGGTTACACACTCAATTTCCCTTGCTCTGCCTGCTTTGCTGGACATGTACGCGTGCGTGTGTGTATGTGCACTCTACATTCCCACCCAATCAGATCACTAGGTACAAGCAAATGGACTGGCACTGACTGAGGTAGTGTGAACAAGCACAGCTGGGACACCTGGACTCTGGGAGAGCACAGAGAACAAATGGGAAGTGGTCCAGGTGTCTTTAAGGCCAGTGGCTCTCAGGCCTCCAAGGCTATGTGGGAGGCAGTGTCTGTCTGAGAAGGAGTAAGCTCCTGAGTGACCTGAGTCTGTCTCCATTTAGAAATGCTCGCTGCACAGCTGCTTGGTCGCCCTCTTCTGCTGGAACTCACTACTTCAAAACAGCAAAGCGAGATTCGGTCTCATTACAAAGCTCCGGAGAGGAGTGGTTTAGTTTTTCTAGGCTGCACAGTTATTTGGCAGTAACTCTGCCATCTCAGTATTAAAGCTGCTATGCACAAAGTTATTAAATAAGCGTTGATGTGCTCTAAACACAAAATAACCATAAAAAACAAACAGAAAAACCTAGAAAACTGAAGGTTTCTTTCATTTACAAATAACTGTCCAGACTTGGTGTGGGAGCCTTAATTTACAGACCTCTGCCAAAAAAAAAAAAAAAAAAAAATAGAAAACGAAGTTTATCAACCTCTTGTTTTACATGAAATGTGGTTTACACCGAAGACCACAACTTATCTTTCAAGATCTACACACTCAACCCAAGTTTCTTACAATTTTACTGAAATTTAAAATCAACACACTCCTCCTTCAAATGTGATTTCCAATACTTCTCCATTCCCTGCAGTTTGGTGTCCCTGGAGCCTTCCCTCCTCTGCTGGACTCCTGCTACCCTCCCCAGCAGTGGCCTGAAGCCCTTCTCCTCTTCCTGAAGCCATCTCACCTTCCCCACATCTGCTGTGCCTGGGGCCAGCCCTTTGAGGAAGTCACAGGACAGGACAGGAGCAAGCTTACTGGACATCTGATCCTGATTCGCGGTCACAGGGAGTCAGTGCTGCTCTGCGTTCACTTCACGTGACCTTTACCATCAGACTCTGTTTTCTCACATCCTAATCCACCCTTCTTTGGATCTGAGCTGTGTGGAGAGTCCCTCTGAGCATCACCAGCCTCACTCCCAGCAGGGACCTCCTTTGTAAACACAGAATAAACTAAATGATCAGAAGATGGCCCAAAGCTTCCTGTCCAGCCTCACCCTTGTTTACTTCTCAAGGACGTTTCTCTCTTGCTTCTTTTGCATACATCTCTCCTCCTTTCTGCCAGTTTCTAGGATGCTCTCCGCATCCCTTTTCCTCTCCTTTCGTCTGGTACTTGCTCACCATAGATAAGATAGATAAGTCACCCTGAAACCTGCACTCTAGGTCCAACCCTGCACACAGGCAGCTACTGCTTGTTGGCTTCCCTTAATTTCCTAAGTGCTTATTACCTCCTTTCCATTTTTAATGCCAGGAAGCACGGAGGCTGCTGAAACTCTTTAAAATGCCACAAGGAAATGTTAACTATCTTTGATGTTTTCCACACATCAAACTTTGTGGAACTCTTTCGCCTTTTAATCTTTTCTTCTGTGAGCTACCTTTTGGTGTCTTGTCGGTTTGCTGACTTTTAGCTTCCTTGCACTATTTTTCTTGATTTGCTTGTTAAAATAATTTTCACTGTTTGAGGATTTTATTTCCCTTCATACACATATTATCCTACACTGGTCCACGGTTTTTCAGTTAGTGACTAGAACAGAATTTCACATGCAAATGCTAAAGGAACACCTGACTCATGAATGAGTAGACACATTACCATAAAATGCAAAGATCAAGCGTATTTCAGACTCAGCACTACTGACATGCAAAGATAAGTGAGTACAGTTTCGAAGAATTACATTTCAAAAGTTTTATGGCTAAACATTTTCACTATTTAAGTAAAATCATACAGGAACCTATGCTTAGAGAGATAATGAAAAACATATCAATTACTACCAATTTGAATAGAAGGCATGTAAATACTTAGCATAAGAAATCTAACAAATATGTAAAAAAGAGCTTAATGAAATGATGTGCGTGCTGTAACAAAACTCAAATCAGATTTGTGAATTTAATAGCTTAATCAGCTCATAATGTGTAATTGCTTTTGCACTTCTTCAATATTTAGCCTTAAAATTATTATTTTTATTTTCTAAAAAATGTATAATTATTGTAATATAGATGATATATCCATATCAGAATGTTAAAAATTTCAGAATATTTATATGCAGAATCAAATTAATACCTTTAAAGGAAATACATGTGAAATGTTTAGTTACCTATTAATGTCTTCATTCACAAAATATGCTGGAAAATATTCATTTAAACTTCTATATTAATAAAGCTGTCTAAAATCTATATTTTACTTAAATAGTTAAAAAGTAACTTCAAAAATGTCTTTCTGTCCAATTATTCTGTCCGGCACATCTACTATAGTTCACGAGTCCTTTAAACATATATAATTTAATATTTTACTTACAACCTAAATAACGACATAATTAATTATCATGACAGGGTCATTATGTAGAGTACTAAAGTATTAAAGGACTATTTCAAATATGTCTTAGATATAACCTTTTTTCATATGTACGACATTCTGTTGCCACTAAGATTCATTTACTTTGGTCCCGAATAATGTAAAGTGCCGTAAATTTTAGCATCAAAGCTTTTCATGATGATCTAAGAGTAAAAAACACACAAAGAAGACACCTTGCAGGGTGAGCTGCTTGGACAGCTTGGGCGTGATGTCCACCCCGTTCTTCAGCCAGCCGAGCTGCGGGTCCGGGACGCCCTCGGCGTGGCACCTGAGGCTGGCTGTCACTCCGGGCTCCCTGGCCTGGCTCTCTGGGTACACACGGATGACGGGAGGAACAGAAGGGGACAGAGGAGAAAAGATCAGTGACCCTCACGGACCAGTGGATTTGACAAAACAAGCGAGTAAAAGCTGCAGTAGGAGAAAGGATGAACCGCGTGCTTTATCAGTGCTGTAATATTCAGCGATCTTAGTTTGCAGATGTCATTATTCACTACAGTGTCCTGGTGTTACATGAAGGACAGTCATTCTGGAACTGAGCTAAAAAGAGGGCAATATAATGAATGCTCAATCGAATGCTTTGTTTCAAAAATTAAACAGAACTTCATACTTAAAAACTCACAGAGCTTTCCTTTGGTAAATATGGAACAGATTGAGATCACAATAATTAACAATTATGAGGAAGTAGCTGAAATCCTATTAATCCAATCAAATAAATAAATAAATCCAGAGAGAAAGGGAAATCTTTCCAAATTATAACATGATTAGAAATTAAGACATCCCAAAATTAAAATATTTGGAAGTAAATTTTATCAAAAAGGTGCAGACTAAACACTGCACAAAATTTTGAGAGGATTTTAAAAAACTTAATCTTGTGTTCATGAATAGAAATAATTAAGTGATGAGATGTAGTACTTCTAACCAACCTGCAGATATAATGTCATCTGTACAAACGCTCCAAATCCTTTTGCTTGCTGGATGGAAGAGGTCATCCTGAGATCCATTCTGAATCAAAAGGATCCCCAAATAGCAAAACTACTGGGGAAGAAGAAGAGAAAAGCTACAGGATACACACTTCCTGATTTGAAAATATGTAAGAAAGCTATTGCAAAAAATAACGTGGTGCAAATATAAGGGTAAATGTAGAGAACACAGAGATGGGAGTCAGAAATATACATTTACGGTCAACTGACTTTTCATTAGATTACCAGCATATAGATATTTCAAGAAAATCTTAGAACATTGCAAATCACAATAATCAAATAAACTCAAATATATAAACTATATATAAATTTTAATTCAAAACCAAATAACGACCTAACTGTAGGAGCTGAAGTTCTATAACTTTTTTAAAAACAGGAGCAAATCACTCTGACATTTGATTTGACAATAATTTCTTATTATGATCCCCAAAGCACAAGTAACAACAACAAAATAAATTTGTCCTCATCCAAATTAAAAGTTTTTATGCCTCAAACAAAACTGAAGTAAAACGAGTGGGGCTTCGCAGGACATGTGTGTGATCTCAGCACTGAGGAAGCTGAGGCAGGAGGATCACCACAACGGGGAGGACAGACTGGGCTACACACTATGAGTTAAAGTCAGCCTGAACTACACAGTGAGAATTTGTCTCAAAACAAATTGAAACAAAGATGTCACTTCACAGAATAAAAAATATTTATAAATTATATTGAATAGGAGATTAGTATGGAGAATATATAATTTTTACAATTTAATAACAGAAAAAGTACTCAGTTATATTTTGGTCAAAGTACTTGAATAAACACTTCTTCTAAGAAACACAAATGGATAATAAGCACATGAAAAGTGTCAAAATGGTAATGCAAGTTAAACGACAACCAATAACATTTGAAGCCTACTCACATGGCAAAAAAAAAAAAAAAAAAAAAAAAAAAAAAAAAAAAAAAAAAAAAAAAAAACCAGAAACACAAAGAGAAATAACATACACCAGAAAGCGGATGTGAAGAAACTGAAATCTTCCACACTCTGGTGGGAATGTAAATCAATGTAAGCACTAAGCCACAATGCAGAAGATTGTAATGGGTCCTAAAAATATTTACTTAAAAGAACAACAAAACCTTTAACTTGGCAGGTTGATTGGTTTGCTTTCCTATAAACTTTGCATTTCCCTTATTATTTGTACTGTAGTACAGTAACTGATTCTGCCAGTGTGTTGCAAGGTGAGCAAACATCTCCAACGAGCTTTAAACTGGTAAGCCAGCAATGCCTTGCAGCACCAGCAGTGCAGGACCAGAGCACCACACAGTGCCAATGAGCCAGTGGTCCCCCCACAGGGGCTCTCACCTTCACTCCAACCCTAACCCTAACCCTAACACTAAGCCTAACCCTAACCCTAAGCAGCCGCACCACACAGTCCACCATTAGTCTCTGCATTGTGCACCTTTAAATGGCTAAACAGTACATAAATGTACCTCAGCAAAACCCACATGGAACCCGAGAAAGGACTATAAATTTAAAGAGACTGAGCAGGCATGATAACTAGATGCATAGAGTAACCCAGATTGGATCCTGACTCAAGAAAAATGTGCTCAAAAGCAGATGAGAAATTTGGCAGAATATGTACGTGGACTGAGAATTAAACAATGAGACTCTATTATGTTACATTTCCCAGCTTGATAATTGTATTTTGATTAGGTAATAGTCAAATTTTGTTTTTAAGACAATTTTCTTTAAACTCACTCACTAAACTAGCTAGCAATTGAAAGAAAATCTTAAATTTATTCTCTACTCCACATCGAAATAATCGCCGTTAGCAAAGAGAAGACATAAGTGCAGTACACCCGCATAACTGGATGTGAGGGTACTTGTTCTCACAGCATTACGCATCTTCACAATGAAGACAGGGCCAGTCACGAGGAGCTGTAGATCACTGGGGAGCTCCCTGCCCTCAGCAGAGAAGTGACGCAAACAGACACGGATCACTAGGTGCTTACGTTGAATTTACTAGGTTAAGTAACCTAAGAAAATAATGAAAAGCAGAGTCAGCAATATGACAGCTGGAGTCTTAAAGGCTGTGGAAGTAAGCCAGATCTGCTTCCATCCCAGGAGGATTTCCAGGAATTCCTACAGTGACATCACAGATTGTACTTAAAAATGAAGCATTGTCATGCTGTGCATCACGGCATGTGTGTGTGCAATTAATAAATGTTATTTTACAAGTAAATATAGTTGGAAATCTTGAGAAACATTTTGCTATTAACCACTAATTAATTAAGACTGAAAAAGAGAATAACTACAGACAGCAGCCCAGAAAGCAAATGAAAAAACAGAAGTTAAACTGAGACCCTTCTCTAGATTCCCAAACCTGATGGCAACATCTATAAACAACTTATTATTGATGCTTAACTTTATAGAACATAAACAGATTTCTAGAAACACAAACATGCTTAAGAACGTACAAAAAAGTCTTACTATGTTTACATAAACCTAATTATCAAAGAAAACTGTATCCTCCCAAAATATAAAAGTAATATCGATCTTAATGATCTATTATGTAGAATAGAATAGAAAAGCTGTGCCTCAGTGTGTGCATTTCTGTGGTAATCCTGGCACATCCTGGAAAGCCTTTGACACTGCTGTTTCAAATACGCGGAGACTGATCTCAGTGTAGGTGGACACGAGAGTGACTGATTAGCTGGTAATGGACAGAATACAGGACTATGCAAGGAGCTGCCTGCCTGTACTCCCAGCATGTGGGAGTCTGAGGAGGAGGATCCCCATGCGCTTGAGGCCAGCCTAGGCTACATAGTGAGTTCAGGACCATCCTAACTACACAGTGAGACCTTCTCAAAAACCCAAAATACCACCCTACCACCAACAGCAAACAAAACACAGAAAACCAAAGACACGTTGAAGCAGTGGCACAAGGAATACAATGTTAGATCATCAAGGAACAGCACTTCCCTTCATCCAAGGTTTTATTTTCTGTTCTTAGTCACTCACTGTCAACTGTGGTTTACAAATATGAGATGGAAAGTTGCTGAAATACACAAGTTTTCAACACATGCTGATCCAGCTCAGGTGTGAGGTCTCACACTCTCCCTCATCCTTCACCTGGAGCCTCCTCTGCTTGGTGAGTTCACCTTGGTCCTCATCTCACCAGTGGTCACTCATAGTCCTTCTGGTGATTGAATCCATGGTCTCTGTGTCTTGATGCGTACACATGGGGTTTGGTACTATTTCTGGCCTCTGGCATGCCCTGGAGTCTCAGAATTTTATCCCTCACTGACAAGCAGCTATTGCTTTACATGACACTCCAGGCTCTCTTGTTCCTAGAGGAGTCAGCTGCTGCCTCCTGAAGATACTCATTTGAACTTACAGAAGTTTCTAATTAGCAATCGCTGCACCTCAGATAAATCTCATTGGCTGGGTACAGTCACTGCACAAAGGTTCATACATAGAGAAGCTCATGTTGCCAGGGGCAGCAAGGAATAAAGACCTTTTGTCAACAGTTTCGTGAAGGCACCATGTCCAAAGAGACACTCAGCTCCAACCAAGCTTTGGGCCACGAGTGTGTGGGCAGCACAGGTCCACAAGCTCAGAAAAGACCTCGTGCCAATCTCCCCTAGCAAAGTCCTTGGTAATTTACTTAATCTCTCATTTCCATATTATTTTATAACTCTATCTCCCTTTCAGTTTTTTGGTGATGATAAATGTCTATTGTTTTAAGGTACTAAGTTTTGGATAATTTATTAGGCAGCATCCTGTAGATTCCCCCATCTGTACTGTGAGCCCAACTAAACTTAGTAAGCAAATTTGACAAGGGATGTGTAAAAGAGTAATATCAGTCAATCTTATTCAAGAAAATGGACAAAGGGCTGGGGATTTAGCTCAGCAGCATAAGCGCCTGCCTTGCAAGCAGGCAGTCGTGAGTTCGATCCCTGGTACCGATAAAAAGGAAAAAGACAAAAAAAAAAAAAAAAAAAAAGGAAAGAAAATGGACAAAAAGACCCAAACAAAATATTAATAAGCTAAATGATAAATACCATAATATAATTGGGCTTTAAAAATATTGAAATCACCTAAAAACTTATTACATAAATAGCTTCAAGGAGACAAGAATACGTGATATTGCAGAAATATCATATATTTTAGAAAATGGAACAAAATCCAGAAGATGTTTCCCATATTATGGCAAAGAGTATATTGGGCATCTAGTGATGACATGATTTTGTCCATAAAATATGAAAGACTTTATAGACAAGTTTTGAGAATAAGTGAATTTGCCAAGTTTATCTAATACAAATTATATGTACTTAAGTGTATGAAATAAAAAATTAAGCAAATGGCAATCATTAA